CTGATAGGCCAGGTGGTGGAGGCCATAGCCCGCCCTTCCTCCCTCGTCCCCCTGTCCATCCCTGACACCAATTCATGTGGACACACTAACCCCCCCATGACAGCTCACTGTTGACTGTCATCCATTTGTGCCAGTGGGAGGCCACGACAGATGGGAGCATGCCTCCCTTGTCCCTGGCTACCGAAGATGCTTGGGGAGGGCTAGGGAGGAAGGGAGGCAGACAGAGGGGGTATGGCTGGCGGATGGACAGAAGGACGAGTGGACTCCCGCCGCCTGCCCCCAGCTCGCTGCTCAGGACGGCCTTCCTCCTGCTGCTGCTCATCAGCGCCACCTGGCTGCTGGGTCTGCTGGCTGTGAACGGCGACTCGCTGGGCTTTCACTACCTCTTCGCAGCCTTCAGTGGCCTGCAGGTAGGTGTCCACAGAGCCCCAGGGGCTCTGCCTGAGCCAACCTGGGGCACCCCAGTGCTGCACCAGAGGAGGCCACGGCCTCCAGCCTGCCTGTCCCCAGCCTTCCTGGTCCCCGCCCACAGTCATGCTGGCCAGAACAGGGTCACTCCTCCCACCGTCATCACTGCCAAGCTGGCCCAAATCCCACTGTGTCCCCGGGAGGAGTGTCCCCGGGAGGAGTGACTATTTGTGGCTTACACCAAGGGCTGTCTAGAAAGTGTATTTATGACACAATGTCGGGGACCCCAGGAGACTATGGCCTGGGGCGGGCCCCTCGTTGTCCCAACATGCCTGCTGCCCTGTGCAGGCCAGCTGTTTCTGGGGCTTCCCCTGCCTAAGAAAGCAGGGGCCCTGGGCCACATGGCAGGGTGCTTTGTGCTCCAGGCCCCACGCCCTGGGGGCACCTACTCCTGTGGGGCAGCAGAGTACACCAGGCCACCTGAGCCTCCTCCCTCCAGGGCCCCCTTGTGCTCCTGCTCCACTGCCTGCTCAACAGGGAGGTCCGGAAGCACCTGAGGGCAGTGCTTGCTGGGAAGAAGCCGCACCTGGATGACTCAGCCACCACAAGGGCCACTCTGCTGACGGTGGGGGTCACCGGGCACCCCGTGGGGCTGGGAGTTGGGCAGCACTCATTGTGGGGCTGGGAGCTATAAGGACCAAATACCAAACGGGGCTCAGTGGCTTTGGTGTCCCAGAGGCCATCCCTGGACACGTGGCCATGGCTCCTAATGACTCTTGGGAGAAGGAAAGAGCTAGGTGGGGACTCTTTCACGGCTTCCGGAAGACAGGGGCCAGGGCAGGTGAGGCCCCTGGCCCAGAAGCAGTGGCTGTGGGCAGGAGTTGTGTCCTGGGGCCAGGCAGTGCTCTCCCCTTAGCTGCCACGAGGCTCCCTGCGATGCTGCCCTCCTGAGGCCAGGCGGGGGCACAGCCAAGGTGCTGGCGAGGGAGCCTCTAGGGGACAGTGTCCTCCACAGTGGTCTCTGACAGCCCACCCTCCCTCCCCAGCGCTCCCTCAACTGCAACAACACCTACAGCGAGGGGCCCGACATGCTCCGCACAGCCCTGGGCGAGTCCACCGCTTCGCTGGACAGCACCAGCAGGTCAGGCTGCTGCCCGTTGTCATCTTGGGGTGCAGTGGGGCCAGCTCTGTGGCCTGGCCTGCAGGGAAGGTCCCAGCCACGTGCCCTGATGTGGAGACTCTTCATTTGTCTGTGTTGTTACCATTGATCAAAATGTAGCTGGGGCGGTTTGGGGGAATTTTCCAGAACCCCAAGTGGCCATGGCGTGCAGGCAGAAAGTGCTCAGTCACATAAGGGCCTGTCATCTATTCCACTGAGCAAATGCTGAGCCTGCGCTTCTCTCTAGGGACGAAGGGGTCCAGAAGCTCAACGTGTCCTCCGGGCCTGCACGTGGTGGCCATGGGGAACCGGATTCCTCCTTCAACCCCAGGAGCTCTAAGAAACCTCATGGTATGGCTTCCCCTGATGGCTGCAGGGGCCCAGGTCGCTCTCATGTGTCCACATCCCCACAACCAGTGGAGGACATGCCTTGGAGGAAGCACAGGTGCCTTGCTTACCTGAGCCTCGATGCCCGACCGCCCCACAGGCCCCGACTCGGACTCGGACAGTGAGCTATCGCTGGACGAGCAGAGCAGCTCCTATGCCTCCTCACGCTCGTCAGACAGCGAGGACGATGGCGGGGAGGCTGAGGACACATGGGCCCCGGCGCAGGGCCCTGTCCACAGCACCCCCAAAGGTGAGTGGTGAGGACGTGGCCGGCCAGGCAGGCCTCGGTGGCTGTGTGCCCACCCTCTGGCCGGCCACACCCTGCAGTCCTAGGGCTCTGCAGATGGTCAGCGCGGCCAGGTGGGGCCTCCAGAGTAGCCACTGCGTGGCTAGGTGTCGGGGCGGTGGGGAGCGCGGCCAGGGCCCTCACATCAGGACTTTCCTTTGGGCCTGTTCCCCTCTTTGGGAGGCAGCCCTGCCAGGCCTGTGGGTGGAGGGTCAGGGCCACCCTGGGGGCTTGCCAGGCTTGGGATGCCCAGTGCTGTGTCACCCATCTCAGCGGATGCCCTGGCCAACCACGTCCCAGCTGGCTGGCCTGATGTGAGCCCCGCTGGCAGCGACAGTGAGGAGGCGGGCACTGAGCCCCACCTGAAGGTGGAGACCAAGGTCAGCGTGGAGCTGCACCGGCAGGAGCAGGGCGACCGCTGCAGCACCCAGCCTCCAGACCGGCCATCCATGCCCAGCAGCCAGCCCCCAGAGCAGAGGAAAGGTGCCCAGGAGGGAGGCCTACCATGGGACTTGTCCCTTGCCAGCTGGTGGGGACAGGGCAGGGGCCTTATGTAGCAAGGTGGTGGGATCTTGTGGGGCATGGGTGGGGCATAGGCAGATCAGAGAGGACTCTGAACTAGAGGAGGCACAGGTGTGACCCTGTCGGGCCTCCCTCCTCCCAGGCATCTTGAAAAACAAAGTCGCCTACCCACCACCACTGCCGGGACCCCCACTGAAGTGCCGGCTGCGGGAAAAGCTGGCCGACTGTGAGCAGAGCCCCGCGTCCTCGCGCACATCCTCCCTGGGCTCTGGCGATGGGGTCCGTGCCCCCGACTGTGTAATCACCATCAAGACCCCTGGGAGGGAGCCAGGCCGCGAGCATCTGAATGGGGTGGCCATGAACGTGCGTGTGGGGAGTGCCCAGGCTGAAGGCTCCGACTCTGAGTGAGTAGTATTGGCCTCCAGGGCTGGGGTCAGGGTGGGGGCCGCCAGCTCTCCCCTCGTCCAGGACCCGTGCAGGCCCCAGGTGTCTATTCTTGAACTGGGGAAGTTCTGCCCCCACTGACTTTGGATCCCACCCAACTGCCACCCTCACTGACCCACCACCCGCCTGATGGCTTCTTCCACACGCAGAGGCAGTAATGAAACTTCAATTTGAACCATCAGGAAACCATGAGGCAAGCCTGTCACCCCATTCAGGCCACCACCATCCTGAGCCCTTGGACCTTGGAGCCCGAAGGGCTGCTGCCTCCACAATGAAGTGGGCCCTGGGTATGAGGGTCCCTGCAGAAGCAGCTCCACATCGGACGGCCCAGACACGAAGCCCTTGGCTCTCCCATGGACTCAGGGCCTGTCAGATCCAGTGACAAGTGCCAAAGCCACTGGCATGTTTCAAGGGAGATGTTGACCCTGGGCCAACACAGCTGGGTCCTCAGCCTGCACAGAGTCAAAATCATGCTTCTGGCCTGTGCAGGAGGCCCAGCTGGCCTGTGGGCTCAGCAGGGTTTGCAGGAGCTGAGCAGACTGAGGGCCACATGGGCATGGCTTGCAGTGTCAGCAGCCTCGGGCAACGGCACCCGTCTCCAAGCAGATTGCTTTGCTCTGTTGAAAAGGTGGAAATACTGTTGTATATTTGACCTGAACTTGAAGACAAAAAAAACCTGTGTATAGTTTGCATTTGGGCTGGTTGTTACTGGGAGGTCTGTGGAAGGATCTCTTACTGTTTTCGTATGAGGAGGACTTCACCGTTGGACTTGAATCTGGAGCTGCTGCCGCAGCTGACATCCCCACATCACAGGTGACGTGTTCCTGCGGGGGCTACAGTCTTCCAAGTTCCTGCACCTGCTTTCAGCCAGTGAGCAAGGAGGCCTGGGACTATTGCTGGCCTCCAGAACCCACAGCACGTGCTGCCTCAGTTCCTCACCCCACACGTGCGGCCCCACAGGGCCATCTGGGATCCGCCACTCAAGGGGCCTGCTGTGGCCAGTGTGGACTGTGGCTGCCGCACTGATCTCACACCCCCACCACACCCCCATGCCTGGCCCCCTCCAGGCCCAGGGGGCCCGGAGCCTGGTACTACAGGCAGGGAATTCCTCTGTTCCAGACTCTTGCTCCAGGTGTGATCTCGAAGCATTCACACAACCTAATTCAAAGGAGCTGCAGGGTCTCCAGGACATCACGTCCTCCTGCCAACTTCCTGGCTCCTTTAGATTCTGGGCAGGCTGGGGTGCCATCCCCAGTGTCTGGCCAGTTACATCATTTTGCTTCAAGTGGTCAATGGTGCAGAGGGACAAACTGCAGCACTCTTTCCAGGGACCACCAAGCTGTTTTTGGAAACTCACGCGAAGCCCTGTGATTGTCCCTGAGAGCCAGGGCACAACATGGCCCGAGGGGCTGTGGAGCAGGCCCAGAGTCCTTCAGATGCATCTTATTTCAACATGGCCTCTGATCTCAAATCAGGTGCCCAAGCAGGTGGTGGGCACAGCTGCTTCCAGGTGTGACAAGCTACTGGTCAGTGAGAGGCGATTCTCTGTGGGCAGTGCACATCCTCAACCTCCACACCCAGCGGGGTGTGGGGACCTCGCGCAGGCCTCTGGGGGAGGGAAGGGGCGTTGTGTCCCTGCTGCCCCAGCTGCCCCAGCTGCCTGTCGCCTCTGGAGGTGTAGTTTTTAATCTGATCAAAATTGTTACCAAAAAAAAAAAAAAAGTCATTTTATAAGACAGGAAAAATTTAAACCTATTTTCATGAGTAAGACTCTGAGAGATCAGACACTGGAGGTTTAAACACGTGTATTTATTAATGTCAAACACTGGAATGACAATGCAAATGAGAAGAGTCTACAATAAATTCAGATGTCCGAGTCTGTTCCTCAGCTGTGCGGGGCTGCCCTGCTCCCCTCCCCAAGGTGGCATGAAGGGCACCTCAGGCTCCCTCCTGGGAAGCGGGTGGCAGGTCTCACTGGGTTTCCTGAGAATCGGTCTGTGCCACCAAAGCTGGGAAGACTGAGCTGTTCCTTCGACTGCTTTCCTGCCCCGTCTCCCCTCCTCTCCTGGCGCCCGGCCTCCGGTGCACCCGTCCCTCAGGCCTCCTTCACGGCTCACGTTTCTCTCTAGTTCTGGAGTTAATCGTCCTGGTCCTTCCGCCTCATCACTGAGCGTGTCCTTTGGTCTTTACTTCAGCACTGTCACCTGCAGTTCTTCAGGTTCCTGTCCACACTTGGCCTTCTCTCCACTGGGCCCTGAGGTTGCCAGCGCTTGCCTTTTCCTCCTGGGGCACCTCAGGAGCACTGCTCCACCTTGCTAGTGTGAGCTCTGTCACCTTAAGGCTGTAATCTGTCCCCTGTCTTTCACTGGTGTCCCCGAGCCTGTGGCTCAGTGATTTCAGGGGAACCCTGCATCAGCACTGGGTCATGCTGGGCTCTGGGCCAGCTGGAGGCCTGGATCTGGATGTCACCCTTTCCATAGTGAAGCAGCCTGGTCAGGTTCCTGCCAGTCCCACCTGCCCTGAGGGGTTGGTGCCAGCTCCAGAGCCAGGGCCTTGGGTCTGCTGGTGTCCAGCCGGGGGCCCTGGGGCCTGTGCTGGGCTGCTTCTCCAGTCCTCGCCCTGCTGGGACTCACCTCACTCCTCTTTGCCTAAAAAGACGGGTTTCTCCCCGAGTCTCAGCCACCTTCACTGTCTCACAATCCGCCCCCTCAGCCCCCAGGCCCTCCCCAGGCCTCTCCAAGGTCCTAGCCCAGAGAGGAAAGTGCCCCATAAGAGTGCCACACCAAAGGCTGCCCGAGTGCTGCGTCCCCGACGCCCTGTGAGTGGACTTCTAAAGCCCACAGCCAAAGCCATGCTCACCAGGAAAGCACCGGGTTCTGCTGGAAGTGGGCCCTGCAGGGCAAGGGGCTCTGTGTGCTTCCCCTGTGGACTTCTGGGCTTCAGCAGACCTAATGTGGATGGCTCTCTGCCTTCCCAAGGCATAGGGCTCAGGCCCCAGAGGAAGGCCAGGCCATCTCTCGGGCCCTTCCCTTGCTGTCCATCTGCCTTCCATTCCATCAGCTACCAGTGATGAGCCCCTGCGACAGCCCACCCAGGCCCCCCAGCCCCTGGACACAGTGGTCAGACTCCTCATCCCAGTTGGACTTTTTATTCAATGCTGTCCCTGCAGTGTTCTTCCAGGGCAACTGTCCCAGGGGGTGAGCATGAAGGAGACTGAACAGGGCCTCGGGGCTGACCCACTGGCCATGGGATGCTTCTGTTGCTGGTTCCAGCACAAAGACAAAGGGCCTTCCTGGGGCTGCCCCTGGTCCAGGCAGCACTGAGTCCATCACTGCCCTGCCCTGCCCTGCCTACGCTGCTCAGCCCCAGGCTCTGCTGTCACAGGAGTCCTCCTGCGGCTCGGCTTCTGTCAGGGTGTGGGGCCTGGGCCTGGATCTTTGCTGGGTCCCTCACTGGAGCCCTCAGGAGCCACTCTGGCTCTGCTCCTGCCCTTCTGGAGTGTGTAGGCCGACGGCCCCAAGCGCAGGATCTTCCCACTGCCCAGGCACTCATCCCCCTTGTAGAACACGGCAAACTGCAAAAGAGAAGCCTCAATGTGGGAGTGCGACTCGGGCCTGTGGGGCTGAAAGGCGGGAGCCCAGGGAGGGCTGCCAGGTCAGTGCTTCAGCTCTCCAGAGCAGAGCCACAGGCACGTGGCCACAGCGGACAGCAATGACGCGTGCCTGTCCAGCCGTCCTGCTGGGTGTCCCTGCAGTCCCCCCGCCCCTGCACCCGACTCACCTGCCCCAGGGCGAGGGCCCGCACAGCCTTCACAGCAGTCACCCACACGGTGCCGTCCTGATTGAGGGTCAGCACACAGGGCACTGGGTGGAGAGAGGGGCCTTGAAACCCCTCTGCCAGGGCAGGGTAGGACAGCAGTCCTCAGACATGGCAGGGCATGACAACATACCACCTGCGCGGCTCCCCTCACCCCAGGCCCCTCTATGGCAAACACAGGTCAAGGGAGTTTTGAAAGATCACATCGTCTCAACATGAGGGACTTTCCTGCCCAAGGGGCTCTGGCCCAAGTCTGACCCCAGGGACCTCAGCTCCAAGAAGCCTCCCCGGCCCCGCCCACCTAATCACCTAGCGCCATCTGGTGGCGGAATCGGAAGTGGCACTCCATCATCTTATCCCGGACCAGGGCGGCAGGGGGCTCCTCTGCAATCCAGTGCACACGGCTGGTCCTCAGCAGGTCCCGGTAGAGGGCTGGGTGGTCTGTGCGGGGGGCCTGTGGAGGAGTGAAATCTATGACGCCTTCTAGCCCTCAGAAGACAGCCCGGAAGCCCGAAGCCCACCTCACTGGCACCTAACAGCTAAGGAGCACAGACTGGTGACAGGTAGCGGCCTGGTCCCTGGTGTCTCACTGAATCATCCATTGTGTAGTTGGGGAAGCTAAGGCACAGGAGGGAAGGGAACCTGCCATGTGGCAGGTGACAAGAGGCGGGGCGAGACCTGAGCCCAGGTCCAGGCACTCTCCTCCCTGAAGCCCAGGCCCTGCCCTCCACCTCTATGAGGACTAGTTTTCTGTTTCCAGGGATATCGGCCAGTCACACCACTGGCCTTTCAAGGAAAGCAGAGCCTGGAGCAAGTCCAGGGCTGTGCTCACACCAGGGTCTGGCCCTGAGGCTCTCCGAGGAGTAGGCCATGCCCACACCTAGGGCAGGACCAGGAGCACCAGATCCAGGGGCTTGGGTCCTCAGCAGGTACTGGGCCACACAGGCCTCCACTCCCAGGGAATGTTCACTGCCACCCCCACCTGCCAGGCTCCCCACACACAGCTCTTCCTGGAGGGGGGTGTCTTGGCTGGCAGGTGAGGTCTCCTGGCCTCTTGAGCTGCCACCAAGAGAAGGCCCCCAGCATTCACGACAGCAAGTTTTCTATTAGGCAAGGGGGATGTCCTGTGCTCCTCAGGCTATTCAGCAATGTCCATGGTCTTATCCACTGGATGCCAGCAGACCTGGCCCCCACACTGAAACTGCGACAACCCAAAGCATCTCCAGACTTTGCCAATGGCCCCCATGGGGGTGGGAGATGCATGCCCCTTGAGAAACTCTGCTCTGCAGCCTGGGCAGCAAGCCAAGGCTGGGATGGCTCAAGGCCCAGCATGGCAGATAGCCTGGCTTGTCCTGGCTCAGCCACTGGTTTCTGCCCCACGAGGACCTCCAGGCTTCCTCCTCCTCTCCACCTGACCTTCGCCAGTCACTTATCTGTGTGTCCTCCTTGTTCATAAAATCAGATGAGCTGCTAAGCAGCATGCAGTGACTTGAAGAGTGACCCGCACACAGCAGGAGCCTAGTACCCACCAGGCCAGGACCCTCTGCCCGGGGCAGCCCTGGGAGGCTGCGGAGTACAGGCGAGGCCTGTGCCTACGGCGAGGCCTGTGCCTACGGCGAGCCCTACTCCTGGCCCCACACTCACCACGAGCACGTCACCCTTGGCAGCATCCTTCTCCACCACGTACCAGGGCTCCCTCAGGCCGCTGATCTTAGCTCTCTGGCCCAGGGTGTACAGGAACCAACCTACAAACAGGTTCTCGTGAGGCCCGGGGAGGAGGTCCTGGCGGAGGGGGCAGCACAGAAGCGGGTGGAGGCAGCAGGTGGCTCCAGGGCGACCCCAGACACGGCTGCAGTGACCAGGGCCCACTCAAAAGCCATGATCCTCCAGCCTCCAGAGCCAGCCCTAGGCTGGACACAAGGACTATGACCGTGGCAGAGACCACACCTCTCACCTGGCATGAGGAGCAGGGCCAGCTCCTGTGAGATGTATGAGGTGTGGCCCTGCCTGTTAAGCCCTGGCACGCCTGCAGCTTTCACAGGCAGGTCCAGGGTGGCCTGTGAGCGCACCACCTGCTTCAGGGCTGACCAGCTCTCTCCACATCCCACTCCACCCATCTCAGGGTCCCCAGCTCTCCTGGGCCTCCTCTGGAATGTATGCATGCAGTCAGAGGTGACCTGACGAGACCTGCCACCACACACCAGCCTCCAGCTGCCTGCTACGGGAGATGGCAGCTCTGTCCCTGGCAATGTCATTTCTCGGGCTCCCTGCTCAGCTGTGCCTCTCCCTCCACAGTAAGTGGGGGTTCTCCAAAGCACAATTCAGAGACTCCCCACATCAGAGCATGGCCCAGTCCTCCCAGCCAGGGCAGGACTGTGCTGGGCCAAGACTCGCCTCGGTATCCTGCCCTAGGGCACATCCCCATCAGCCCACACTGTCCATCCCTGCACCAGGACCGTGAGCACCTGTGCCCCTATGCCCAGCCCAGTGCAGGTCACAGTGGCCCTGCCCCATGAATGCCAGCAAATGTGGCAGCACCCCTGCCAGAGGACACCTTACCCTGTCCACACATCCAGCTATGATGACCAAACTCCTTCAGCAGAGTGGAGTTTCTATAGTTTCACATTTTCCTTGTTCAGTGAGAAACACACTCTACCTACAGGGACTTGACTCACAGCGGAGACTGAAGCCCCCATTAGGTGGCAGCTTTTTGTCAAATCCAAAGCTCAGGAGGAGACACCATGGTAACGTGCACACAGCCCCAGACAGACTGCCCTGGGCCACCACACTTACCCAAACCTGCCCCCAGGCCTTCTGGGAATCCCTGGAAAGGTGGAAGGGACCAAGCCACCTTGTTCCCAGTTCCCAGAGCCAGCACACACCCATGGCTGGAGGAGCTTAGGGAAGGAGCCAGGACTACAACTCACCTTTATGTGTTCCCAGAACTGTATTGTCCTCAATAGAAATAAATTTCCCAGGTCGAGGCTGCAAATACTGGAAGACAAACATCTCATTACTAATGGAGATCCAGGGCTGGGGCAGCCGCACAACCTATCAAAAAACACTCACCTGAAGAATGAAATGCTCAAAGTTTCTTTTACCGACGAAACAGATGCCCATGCTCTGAAATGAGAGGAGGGTGGCAGATGAGGAGTTGGCAGGAGATGAGCAGATGGCAGGAGGTCTCCTGTGCTAGGAGGGCCTGGGCCAGGAAGAGGGAGAAACCAGGGCTGCCCTGGCCTCCCACCAAATACACTTGTGGGCCAGGGCCTGAGGGCCTCCTCCAGCGCCCTCAGACACCAGGCACACCCTGCAAGCAGAGCTTCAGGGCTTCACGGATGTCTGTCTCAGGCCACTGGGTCCAGGTCCCCTACATGCAGACACTGCATGTGCCCAGGGCCTGCCCAGTGCTACACAACATCATGAGCTGCCCCAGGAAAGAGAACTAAGTCTAGCCCTCAGGAGACACTGGAGCGGGGCTGGAGCCCAAGCAGAGGGAACAGGGAGGGCCAGGCAGAAGGAGGCTGCTTCCCTTGGCAAGTGGAGCCAGCATTGATGCTTTGGCTCGTGTCCCTCCAGAACATGGGCCCAGGAAGGTATGGCCTGCGTCACGAGTCTCAGCAACACCCTCCGCTCCCACCACGGAGCAATTACTGGAAACTGAACAACAGAAGAGCGAACGCCAGAGGGAAGGGGTGTCCTCTCTGGGGAGGATGCCTGCTACCCGTTCCTGAGAAGACAGGCATGAGTAGTGGCTACAGCTGAAGCGCCTCTGACCCCTGAAGAGGGCAGGCTCAGCAAGTACGGGGGTCTGTGGGCTCGGAAGGCTGACCCTCAGCAACCTCGACTCACCATTGAGCCCCTGGCATAATGGCTTCACCTATTCATGCCATCACACCGGCCCCCTCACCCAGGGCCTTTGCACAAGTTCTTCCCTCCACATGGATTTTTCTCACTAATCTCACCTGTGCTTTGCCCTGAAGTTACATGTGATTTCCCCAGGGTCCTTTCTTGGCACCTCTGCCCCTAGGCTAACAGGCTCCCCAGAGGTCCTCGCAGGATCTCAGCCCTTTCGCCACAGATGCCCGCTAGGTTTACAACAACACATCTCACAGATCTCTCTCCCTTTCTCAACTGTAAACTTGGGCAAGGCAGAAATGGAGCTGTTTGCCCGTCACCATCTCCTCAGGCTTTAGCAGCACAGGGCCTGGCACAAAAGCAGCATGAGATGTGCCAGGGTGAAAGGGTAGCTTCGTGTGTAGGGCTCCTGCCTACTCGGAGGGCCCAGGGAGGGAGGGGAGCCAGTGCAGCCTCTGCCGCACACCGCAGCGCTCAGGCCTGCTCCCAGAGGCCAGGTTAGGGAACCCACAGCCACCACGTCACCCTGTGCTGCGGCCACAGTAGACGCGGTGTGCCTGAGTCAGAGGCCAACTCTCACACCTACCTCTTTCTTCTGGAGCACATGATGGAGTCTATTCTCAGCAGCTATTTTCTTTACAAAATCCTTCGTTAATCCCCCTAGAGGGAAGATGGTTCTTCTCAGGGCATCCTGGGAAACCTGGCTGAGAAAGAAGGTCTGGTCTTTAAAGCTGTCAGCTGCTTGGAGAAGTTTTACCGCTGCCAAGAGTAAAGAACAAAAGATGTTGCAGGAATGAAAATGACGATACTTTGCCTTTAGTCCTATCTTTCTGCTCACTTGTCCCTGAGCGGTGGGAGCAGACCACTGGGGGAGCTGCCAGCAGGACCCATGTGGGGAGGACTCTCGCCTCTTATTTATCTACCGTTAAGAAAACACAGGGCAAGCAGGTTTTATATGATGGGAAATTTATTCCAGTTCACAATTTAGACTGTAGAGTTCCAAAGATAAAACAGCTTGTGAAAACCACGAAGTGAAAAGCGGAAAACACAAGCCCCAAATAAGTTCAGCCAGGAGCACGCATCTGGGCAGGAGAACAGCAGGTTGGCTTCCCGCCCTGGTGCCTGGTGGGACAGCGCAGGGCACTCCTGGGCCACACCCGCTTCCTGCTCAAGGGCCCTGTCTGGAGGCCACACTGACCTCACAGCTGCTGTGTTGTTTCCCAAACATGCTCCATTTCACTGTAAGAAACAGCGCTAGCACTTCAGCAGCTGTGCAAAGGCATGAGTGACCCTGGCCCTCCAGCAGGGGAGCTGCCGACTGCCCATCCCACCCAGGGACCCAACCCATGGAACTCATCAGAACAATGACCTCACTCTCCTTTCACCCTCTCACCTCTGGGGCTCAGCAACACCCCAGGTTACAGGCAGAGCTTGCCATGCACACGATAGGCTTCAGCAACATTGTAGGCTTTATTTGTTTGTTGTTTGTTTATTTATTATTTATTTGGGGGGGGGTACTGGGGATTGACCCCAGGGGCACTTAACCACTGAGCCACATCCCCAGCCCTTTTTATTTTTTATTTTAAGACAGGGTCTTGCTAAGTTGCTAAGGCTTTGGTAAGTTGCAGAGGCTGGCTTTGAACTCGCAATTATCCTGCCTCAGCCTCCCAAGCAGCTGGGATGACTAATACACACCTCCCAAACCATGCAGGCTTTATGTCAGCACAGTGGTGTGGACAGTGTGGCATCTGTGTGGCTCACATTTCCACCAGCCAATCACACATTAGCCTGTGACAGAATCGTCCCCATTTAACAGTTGAGGAAACCAATGTCCAGTAAACTGAAGCTTCTGCTTCTGTCCCAGAGTGACACAGCAGAGAAGGCAGAACCAGAAACAGCCCGTCTCCTGACCCCTGTCCCCACTGTGAGCACCAAATACCACAACCAGCCCAAACAAAACCTGCCCCACTGCCAGACGGGAGCAGATTCATTTCTCAATTTTTTATTGTTTCAAAATGAAATTCTGTCAAATATTTTGAGTGCAAAGGCCTCCAATTACTGGGAGGAATTAGGATTTTCTTAGTTCTGAGTTACTTTAAACTAAACACCTGTGCTTTTATAGGAAGGAAGCTGGCAACCCCATGGCTTCTGCAGAGGAGCAGGATGGGAGCAGCTGGGCTCGCACTGCGTGCACAGGAGGAACAGGCTGGCCCAGCACTGTGGCCAGGGCTCTCACCTGCCTCCATCTGCCACTCCCTAGGACCGGGGCCAGGCCAGGACCACTAAATAAGACAACTAAAGTCTTGGCCAGCCTCACACACAATGAAAACAGACTTGGCAGCATTACTGGGCAGACCCAATAGCGTACCAATGCTCTTGGCAGAGCCCTAAAGTGAGCACGGCCTGGACAAGGGCCAGGGACTCTCTAGGGGACATGCAGGCCTGTGTGTTCAGCTCGGGAAATGACCCAGCTGTGGGTCCCAGGAATCCACAGATGGCGAGTCCCACTGGGAGCTCCCAGTCAGCAGGCCGTGCTTCGGTCACGCGCTCCGGGGTTGGGGCTTTCGAGGTGAGCGTGCCCAGGAGTGGGAATCCAGTAGGTAAGAACCAGGGTGCCAAGGGGACAGAGGCCCCACAGGTGGACACAGCTGCTGAGGTAACACAGAGGCCTCCCATCCCTCCCAACAAAGGCCCAAGCTTTCCCATTGGGGCAGGGGTAGCAAGGCTGCCAGTACCTCTGCTTCGAGAAAGGAAGGAAAACAAACAGGTTGGACAGCCCCTGCAGCAGGTTCTGGCGCCCAAGACACAGCGCACAGGACTGCTGCTGGTCACTGCTGCTGTTAAAAACAGGCTCCATGGCTGGCACAGCAGACGGGACAGGGATGAGTGAGCAGGCTCTGCACCTGGCGTGCCCGGTCAATGACTTGACCTCGTCTCAGATTCCTCATAAGGGAAAAGAGGTGTACCTCATCAGACTGCTAGGAGGCACAAAGTAGAAAGTGTTCCCTCTTCCCGAGGTCCATACAGGGAGTGGTGGGAACCAAAGCTGAACTAAGAGACAGCCAGGTGCCCGGGGGTAGGCTGCTGGCTGCCGGACATGGAGAAATGCTGACCTCCAACCACTGCCCGCAGCCCAAAGTCCTTGTGGAAGCGAACCCAAGCCCCGTGTTTTACTTGACAGTGAGATGAACTCCCCTTTTCTAACATAAATGAACACACGGCACGAAGAGCCAGAGGTTTCCTGCTCTGTCTGGCTCCTGACTTTCCCCAAAAGTGAAACTTTTTCCCCTGACATTTATAAACCACTCTGAACACACATTGTGCACAGGCTCAGGCTGGCCCCAGACCTGCCCGAGGTGCCTGCTCCCTGAACTTGGGTCACATCCAGTCTTGAGCTGCAAACCCTGATACAAAGAAAGCTTCGGTTGGTTAAAACGCAGCACCTCATGACTAAAGTCAAATGCCCCCCCCAGCTCTAGAATATGCAAATGACCCACATACAATGTCTAGAATTGGATGCTAAGTTTCTAATTTAATTCCCCCAGGCCTTGCTCTGCCACCTGTTTGGAATATCTCTTACTGGCCCCTGGGGAAGTGATCCTGTTGGCAACTACACCTTTTCAAATGTGAACCCAAAACCAACCAGTTAATTTAGAGCGCAGAGAGAGCCAGATGGCGGCATGCTCAGACTCAACTCCTGACATTCTTCAAAATATTTTACTTTTTTCACAAAGAATTAAGTTCTGGCCTGGGCACATGAACTTACGATTTCTAACTTCAAATCGATTTCTGAAAAGCCCTTCTGGCCTCTTAATATGCTTCTGCTGAAAGACTTCTTCATCCTCCAGTGAAGTTCTTGCGTAGTGGCCTGTGGCAACAGCATCTGCTCCTGGGAAGTTTTAAAAACACAAGGAAGTGGGCTGGGGCTGGGGCTCAGTGGTGGAGCGCTCACCTAGCATGTAGGAGGCACTGGGTTCCATCCTCAGCACCACATAAAAATAAATACAATAAAAATAACTGTATTTAAAAAAAATAAAACCACAAGGATGTGTTTTCAAGCACATGTGAGACTCAATGTGAGACTCCAATTCACTGGCCTCGGTCAACATGGGCTAAGGTGACGAAAGAAGCACGAAGACCCACAGTCCTATGCGGCGGCCTGCGGGGACTGGGCCAAGTGGGCTGCTGATCAACCTTGCCACACACTGATAATATGTCTTCAAGAGCCTTTCAAAAGTGTCGAGTCATTCATTCTAGTTTAAGGAAATAATCCCACATACACAGATTTAAACTCAAAAAGTTCATTTCAGCTGCATGGTGACACACCTGTGACCCCAGCTACTCAGGAAGCTGTGGAAGGACTGCAAGTTCAAGGCCAGTCTCAGCAACTTAATGACCCTGCCTCAATTAAAAATCTAAAACAGGGCTGGGGGTGTAGCTCATAGTAAAGTGCATCAGTTTCGATCTGAAGCACCTCAAAAAATAATCCCCCCGAAAATAACACCTCATTTCAATTCCTTAAAAAGTGTTCAGCACCAGGAGGATGATGCCTCAGCTATAGTGCAGTGGCACTTACAGATGGAGACAAAGAGAATGCCCATGACACTGTGAAACAGAAGGGTATAAGATACTACAACCTGTAATTTCTGAAGAACAGAAAAAGATGAAGCACCACAGGTTTGCTCCCTTCACTGTGGGAGTGAAGTCTGGATAGCACTTCCCCTTTCTTCAGTCATCTTAAATTTTCTTTAATAAACATAAGTAATTATTGTCACTGCGATGGACTGTACAACATATTCAATTTCTTCCGTCTACATAATGCAAAAAAGTCAACAGAAACTACCAAAGTAGACTTTAGTGCTGACCCTTTCACTGTGTGGAAATTCTAACTCTTCAGTATCGCGAGGCTTCATGCCAGGGGGTGCAGCGAACCTGATTCCACCCTGAGCAGCCAGAACACTCTGTGCTAAGCTCAAGGTGACTCAGGAGGCTGAGAGCTGCCTGATGCACATGAACTACTGGGAAAAGACCTTTAGGAGCACACATTACATCTTGACTTCATCTTCCAACAGAGAAAAACCCACTTGGTAAAATAAATAAATAAATTAATTAATTAATTAATTTTAAAAAATTTAAAAATAAATAAGAATTTTTAAAAATAAAAAATTTTAAAAATTTTTAATAAATAAATAAAAATAAAAATAAAAACCCACTTGGAATCTTGCATCCTTCAAGAAGAACCACTTATGCAGCCAAGATCCACAGGGTTCTTCTGGGAGAAGCCCTAACATGTCAGAAGGCTTCTCGTGTTTCTTCCCTGTTATGCTGTCTGTGCAGTTAATTCAGACATGAAAGTGGGCACTGAAGGAGCTCCTTCCAAAGTAAGCCAAGCAACACACACAGGGCTCTAGAGCACTCTGCCCAGGGAGCTCGCATCCCAGAGGCCAGCACTCCTGTCTGGCTCGCCGTCACACCTGCTCCCAGAGAAACCTCTCTCTGTGAATGCCAGCCCTGCTCTCTGAATGCCACACAAGGAATACAATCCTCAATCCTCATGAGCATCCACTTGACCACTGCTGTGGTGACCCGAGTGATCTCAAGAGTTCATCAGAGGACATTTCCACACACACAGGGAATGAAAAACAGCCCACACTCTACCAGCATGTCATTTTTCCTAGATAGCAGGTGGGACCTGACCAGGGCAGACTGTGGAGGCCTCTTCTCCCTGCCCCAGCTCAGTCTACACTGGCTTGGACAACAGACTCTGTTGTGTTCGTCAACTGGAAGCAACTAAGACCTAGGATCTTCTGCATGCGAGTGGTGACCAAGCCAGCTCTTCCCAGCCTGGTGCCAGGACTGCTTGCAAGTGGTGACCAAGCCAGCTCTTCCCCGCCTGATGCCAGGACTGCTCACTGAGCCTTGTCAGCAAACTGCACCCACATCCACCGCGTGCCATGCTTTTGGTGAGTCCGGCCTTCATATTTAGGGCTTCTTGGTTTCTCTTTATTGCCTTTTCTTTTAACTCCTAATGTGGCAAGTCAACTTTTCATTACCATCAACTCAGCCTTAGGTCACTGACACCTTGCGTCTGAGTGCTACTTGATCCTTATCCATGTCACTGCTAAAAGTGCTGATGCTACTGAACAGGGGCACACGATTACCCCTGCCCTGTTTCGAGGCCATGCAGGCAGGCAGGCAAGCGTCAGTGAGGCAGAGCAGACTGAGAACTGCAGAAGATCATGATGGTGACCCTAAGGAAGAGGACAGGAACAGGTAGCTACCAAAAGGACTTCTAAGTGATTCAGCACCAAGAAGTCCCAACAAATGGGACGAGTATCAAATACACAGACAGAATCAAGAAGGGGAGATTCAGGAACAGAGAGAATCTGCAGATTCAATGCGCAGGGTAGTCATCAGCTGGCAGCAGGAGTGGGCTTCCAGCACAGATTGGTAAGATGGCTTCAAACCCATAGAAGAACAAGGGCCGAGGACCGGAGTCAGGCAGAACACGGGCCCATCCTCAGGAAAAAGCACAGCCTCCCTTTTGGAAGCAAGAGCAAAGGTCTCAGTAGGACCATGGAGAGGGATGACTAAACCCAAATTTCCTGAGCCATGAATTTGGGCTCCAGAAGCTCCCCCTAAGTACACTCACATCTAGAACCAGAGCTGCCTTGAGCAGAACTGAGCTTCAGGTGGGGTACATGGCCCTAGGTAGGAGGAGACACTGCAACAGGGAGCCATGTAGGATCAGGGCCTGTAAGTTCTGCAGGACACCTAGTCACAGCTCAGCTGGACCTGGAGACAACTTCATTGGAAAGGCTGGGTATCCTGTATGAGTGGCACTCTCTGCACTGCTTTGGATCCTGGTTCAAGGAGTCTTCCCTGTGCCAGCATGGTGCAATGGCACACAGGCCCCAGGGCACTAGGCCTGGTGCTCTCTTGTGCTCTTCTTTCTGGGCCAACCTTTTTTTTAATAGCTTTGTTGTCTTCGGCATCTTTCCAAGGTTCAAAGCCTCTGGACACATGTACAGGTTCACCTACTGGCGTTTTTCACAGCCTTTTCTTTCTGATGATACCTCATCAAGGTGGCTGATGATCCACTATCATCAATTATGACTTACAAGAATCTCCTCCTCCCCTGAGGCACTGTCACCTTCCAGCCCTTTGGCCAGGAACCGAATATATCTTTCCTTGGGATGTCGGCAGCCTGTCCTCATGTGTGAGTGGCCATGGGAAATACCCTGTCCTCCCATCATGTGCACCTCACCAGAAACCTCCTTCTCACTCAGTGAAATACAGCACAGCTTCAGTTTCCCTGCTTCTTTTCCTCCTAGAAAATGAAACTGCTCATAGGTTTTGGCTCTGTCTTAGCTCTGAAAAATCTTTTTTTTTTTTTTTTCAAACCAGGGATTGAATCCAGGGGCCTTCAACCACTGAGCCACATCCCCAGCCCTTTTTCATATTTTATTTAGAGACAGGGCCTCACTAAATTGCTGAGGCTGGCTTTGAACTCACAAGCCTCCTGTCTCAGCCTCCCGAGCTGCTGGATTACAGGCATGTACCACTGAGCCTGGCTTAGCTATGAAAATCCTATAACAAATGGAAAAATCCCATATTTCTTACCAAGATTATCCACAGCATAACGGAAAAAGCAGCTGAACTTGATATGCTTGTTGCAGACTATGTCGGGGTTAGGAGTCCTTCCTCTTTCATACTCATTCAAAAAATCACTGGAATAAAAGAAAAGCACTTCAGCTCTAAAAGCAAAATAATTCTTAAAAACAAAACAAAACAAAACAGCAGAGTCAGTAATTTAGTGTGGACTTTGTCCTTGCCCTACCCACACAGGAACTTTCTTCAACAGGGAGCTTTGGTACCAAAACTCTTCCTGTGTTTTCATCCAACGTTTGTTCGGAGCCCCTGCACTTGCCATCTGATGCTGTGATGACTGACAAGCCTAGATGAAGAACAGGTGTGTCCTTGCTGCTGTGGCTCAGGGACACCTGCCTCCTGTGCCACCTGCCTCCTGCAGAGCCAGGGATGGGGAGACAAGGCGCTACACTCCTGCTCTCCAGGTCTCCTCCAACACAGGACATGTGAGTCACAGCAGGAATGAGATCTTGAGAGTTACAGAACTCGATGCTCGATTCTGCAATCCCAGGCTGGGGACCCAAGTCACTGGACAAATATGCCACGGAAACCTTTCAGAGGACTAGGAAACTCCTGGGTGCTGAAGCGCATCCAGTTGTCCTAATCTGGTGAATTTCCATCCTAACAGACTGCCCAGGCATGATCCACCAGACATGGAAAGAATGCCAGTCTCAGAAGTCACTCCATGCCTATTTTAGAAGTTTATAATAGGGTATATTTTTAGTATGTGTGATAATTTCCTCATTTAACCTAATAGGCTTAAAAAATGATACTTACCAAAAAGGATGCATTATGAAGACAGAGTGACCTGCATGGGATCACAGGTCACCTGTGCATCACCGACAGCAGCAGTCAAGGTCTAACTTTTCTACCTGCCCCCTCAGTGTTATAAAACTGATCTGGTTCCAGATTTGCGATAATACTTGATATAATTACACTCTTTCTACTGTTTCTAATCGTTGAAAGTTGTGAAGAAGTTCATTAAATTGTAAATTACCCAGATGCACGTCTCTCTGTATGTTCACAAACCCAATTAGGTTCCTATTTCACAGATACTGAGTTTAAATGTTGAAAAAGTTTAACATTTGACCATTTCCTGACAGAGGAGGGAGGCACATCAGGGACACTAACAAAAGCAATGGAGGGAGGCGGCTCTTCCATGGGAAAGAGACCTCACCCCTGTGCGGCCAGAAGGAGAAGGGGATTAAAGAAAGACTTACTTAGACCCTCCCAGGCCAAGTGGGTCTTTGAACCAAAGAAATCAGAAGAAATTACCAAGCTTGAGAGTGTTTTCAGAACAAAGCTCAACAAGCACAGTTTTGGCTACCCCAGAGCAGCGAGGCAGAGGGCAGTCTGGCCACTGCTGGAGGGGAGCTCAGAGGTGGGTGCACAGATACTCTCATGGGGCCATGTCAGTCCCTAGTGAGCAGCACCCTAGGGTCAGTGAGGCACCTGGAGATACAGAGGTGCACACTGGCCTGGACAGCGAGGCTTCAATCCCAGCTCTGCTCTCAATCTGCTGCAGCACCCACTACGCCTGTCTGGCCTGTTAGAGGTCAGCTAGCCTGCAAAACTACATGTAGATGCTGTGAAATGCAGCACTGCAGGAAGAAGTTCAGACTCACCTGGGCTTCTTGCCACCACCTGAGACCCCAAGGACTCAGGAACTCCAGTCAGTGTCCAGCCCATGTGGACTTGATCTGAACCCAGCACTGGCTCCTCCTCCCTCTGGCCTCCTCCAGGCGCCATTCATCACACTGCTTCCCAAAGACCCTAAGAACCCCTTGATCAGAACCAACCCAGGTTCCAGTTGTTTAGCAAGTGCCCAGTGCTGTGCTGGCCTGCATCTGCTGTCCAGCAGACTTGTCCTCTGGGCTCTGAGCAGCCAGCCTTCACTTTCCTCTCCCACATCATGTGTGGGAGATTTTAGGGGCAGTAATTCCTTGGCTGCTCTGCCTCTGGTCTTCCATAATTTATCCTAGACTTGGCTGTGTACTCGCCGAACAATGAAAACATACTGTGCTAGAACTTTGTATATAATCTCACTTAATACCCCTTGGAGGTATTAGCATTGTCCTTATTTTAACATGAGAAAACTGAGGCTTAGAACAATCAAGTAAATTGGCCAAGGTTGCCCAAGCGGCAGAATCAAGACTGAAGCCCACTCAGGCAAGGACAACCCACACTGTACATGTAGCCTGTCTCGGATGCCACTGATGGCTACCTGGCACTGAGCATCATCAGACTTCACCACAGACTAGCCGCCAGGAGGAGCCAAACGTGCAATGCTCCTGAGCCAAGCTGGGCCTCCTCTGTCCCTTCACTGCTGTTTGGTGCCCACATGGTGTCTTTTCTACTTGGTTGTTTTCAAGCCTCCTCCACGATGCCTTCCTGACCCACTCCACACAGCAGACTTCCCTCCTCCCAACCTGGGCCCTTTCCGACATGCCACTCCTCACTAAGGACAACATCTCCCAACTGGACTGCAAAGTCCCCACAACAAGGCCTGGTATACAACGTTCCCAGAGGTAGCACAGTCCTGAGGATGCAGTAAGCAATCACTGCTGGGACTGTATTAGATTTTATAAAGTTTCTGCCTTTTCTTTCCTGTTTCCAAAAGGCACAGGGCAGTCTGTCACATGACTCTTCTCTGAGCCTTCCAACTACTGGGCTGTCAGGACACATGACAGCACCTTCCAGGACGAGCTCAGCCTTCCCCTCATCCCAACTCAGCAGCAGAAACATGTCAAGGTTCACACAGGCTTTAAAGAGACTTCTGGCAGGTGGTAAAATAACAAGAACAAGAGCAGCAGGGGTTCAGAGGTCCCCAAGGCCAACTGAGGGCTCCCGCAGTCTGCAGCATCATGGTTAACGTGGGTCCTGCACTGCACACCCTTGTGTCTGGCCAACAGTGGCAGAGGATCCACAGGGACTGGGAAGACTCCTGTGTGCTACATGCTGAACTCACCTGAACACTTCATTCCAATACTCCTTCACATAGGACACCTGGTGGAAAGGGATGTCTAAGACCTGGCAGACCCTGTAAGCATCCTCACAGTCCCGGTCAGCAGCGCACATGCCATGTTCATCCAGTGAGTCCCAGTTCTTCATGAACACCCCTGTCACCTGGTAACCTGGGTGAGGGGAAAAGGTCACTTGGAGAATGTACAGATCAACCTTGGATAAAAAAGCTTCCAGCACAATGTGGCCCGAGCTGGCTGAGCTTCCCATGAGGACTTGGGTTTACTCCAACGCTCGCTCACTTTGTAAAAAGCCCTCGTCACAACACATTAGGGACTGAGATTGGCTGCCCGAGTGCCCAGGTGCTCAAGATGGGATTTTCTCTTTATCTTTGTCTCCACCCATGTAGAGGCATGGCACCTAGCTCATAGGAGGGACTTAGCAAATTTGTGCTCAAGGATCCAAAGGTCATGTGGCACTCAAATTTTCCACTGCAAATATAAACTGCCATTCAGTTATTGGAAAAGTAAGCTCATTTCAAAAGTTATTTCCAGCTACTAAGTAAGGCTTAAATTCTAAGTTACCAGATATAAAGACAAGTAAAATTTTGGATATTTTATGCATCCAAAATATATGCCTTTATATAAGGCTTAGCTCAATGATAGAACTCATGCTTAGCATGCATGAGGCCTGAATTCAATCCCCAGAACCAAAAACTAAATTAAACTAAATAAATAACCTGGGCATTTTATTATAAGGGTTTTACTACCTATATACCTTATGCCAAATATCAGAAAGGTTGACATTAGCCTCACACCATCTTAGTAACTATCCAGTTGCCTACCCTGTATTGAGCAATGTTTCTTTTGAAAGGCTGAATATAAGGAAAGACAGGGTATTTGTGTTAAAAAAGGCTTAAGATAGTATCCCTGTTTTAGCTTTTTCTTTGCTGTAACCAAAAGACCAACAAGAACAATTGATGGAGGAAAACTTTAATTGAGGGCTCATGGTTTCAGAGGTCTCAGTCCATAGATGGTTGACTCCATTGCTCTGGGCTAAAGGTGAGGCAGAACATCATGGCAGAGGGTGCAGTTGTGGACATGGCCACCAAGAAGCAGAGAGGCTCTCCTCACCATGGACAAAATATAAACCCCAAAGGCATGCGCCCAATGACCACCTCCTCCAGCCACACCCCACCTGCCTGCTATAAGAGCTTAATGCACTGATTAGGTTAAGGCTCTCATAACCCAATCACTTCATCTCTAATCTTCTTTCCATTGTTTCACACATGGGGACACTTTTGGGGACACTCATATCTAAAATCTAACCTCCCAAACCAGGAGTCTGTTGACACATCCTTGCCAAAATGAAAATGCACGCCCACAAGGCCCTCACTCTGCATCCAGAAGCATGATGCAACTTCCATCACAGAATTTGCCACCCTGGGCCCAGCTGTTAGTTCCCTTGCCACTCACCAAAACAGGGAGCTCAAGGAAGGGACTGCCTAGTTCACGCCTGTGTCCCCAGCTCTTGTACAGTGCGTGGCACATAATGGGAGCTGAAAAGGATGAATAAACTACACGGAGCTTTAAACTCCACTCCACCTGTGGCCTCATCTGCCTGCTCGGCCCACTCACACTGGAGGATGGGCCCCCCTGACTTTCCAGGGCACACACAACAGGATAAACACTGAAAATCCTCAATGCCCAAATGAGAGGACCATAGTTTTTCTCAACATCCACCAGCCCCCTCCACGCAGGAAAATCCAAGACTAGAAGATGCAGATGCCCCGTCTAGACACATAGGGTTCATCTTTTTGAAGTAGTTGGATCTGGGCAATCACCCCAGTTTTCCACATCCGCTCAAACACCTAGTCCTGCTCCTCCTTGGAAACCCTCAAGAACTCTGAATTGCCTCCTCAATTTGGCCTAACGTCCCCAGTAAGTGTAACAACTTCCATGATCTTCCAAGATCAGGGCTCAACGCTCCCGCCCTCCTCTGGCCAGACAAAGCCAGCACTTGACCGATCTGTGCTTCTGCGGGGCAGCTAAGTGCCCAGGCCTGCAGTTCTCTGCGGAGAGAAAAGCCACTCCTCTTCCCTCTCAGTTCAATGGTCCACCTGTAAGGCGCCCGCCTAGGTTCCCGTGAAGTGCAAGCCTTCCCTGCAGCGCGGCTGCTGACCTCCAGGACCTCGCATGTGCTGGGCTGTCCCAGCCCCCCGGGTTCCACCGTCCAGGAGCTTCGCACGCACCTCCGCATTCCAGGTGCCGGCGCCGGAGGGGCTCGCAGCGAGCCGCGCCAGCGCGTCCGAGCAAGGCCTCGAGCTGGGGGCGGCCATCCCAGCCCCGCCGAGGACCCCCAGCACCTGCCCGGCTCGCGCGGAGGCCGGGAGAGGACGCAGGCGCGTGCGGCCGGGTGGACGCCACACCAGGCCTCCAGAGCGGCCGCCGTCCGCCGCCGACCCGCGCAGGCTTGCTGAACCGAGGCGACCCCGTCCCGCTGCCCCGGGCGTCCCCGGCCGCCTCACCTCTCCGTCTCAGCAGCAGCGCGGCCACTGCGCTGTCCACACCGCCGGACAGGGCGCACACGACGTGCCGCGCCGCCAGCATCAGCCCGTCACCCAACTGCCGCCCGCTGCCCGGGCAGCCGCCGCGCCGGAAGCCGCCCCCAGGCCACTGCGTTGGCGTTGGCGTTCGCAGCCCGGCCGGAAACACGCGCTCTGCGCCTGGCGTTCCGCCCTTGCGCGGCTCCGCGCCGGGCGTCTTGGTGCGCCGCACTGACCCTGAGGACCTGGAGTTCTGTACGCACCGGCTCGTTGCGAGCGGCACGGTCCTCGGGATGCGCTCGCGCTGCCTCGTGGGCGCCCGCAAGCCAGGAAGGAGGCCATGGACGGGGCCAGGCGAGCTAGTGAGCCCATGCAGGTGGAGGGAACCTGCAGTCCTTGCCCGTGGAACCGCGCAGGTGAAAGGGTGGACCGTCCTCTGCAGTTGCAGCCGCCTGCGGGGGCACGCGGTGCTGGGGCTTCCAGGAGCTGCCCCGCGGAGCTCAGATGCCCATGGCACGGCGCTCAGGTGGAATCTGGCTTGACGTCAGAGGCGACTCCTGCAGATGCAGAGTACTGGGGTTCTTGACACCAGCGACTCCGCTTTTCCAGCCTCAGTCCACATTGACACTTCACACGGAGGCCAAGAACACACAGATACTACGCGGACAACTCAGGGTAAAGAAGGCTTCTCAGAATGCCTTAGAACGTCAGGTACTGTGATTTTATTTTCTAAGAATTGCTAGTGTAAACCGGGCGCGGTGGCGCATCCCTCTAATTCCGGTAGCTCCAGAAGCTGAGGCAGGAGGATTGCGAGTTAAAAGCCAGCCTCTGCAAAAGCGAGGCGCTAAGCAACTCAGTGCTTACCAAAAAAAAAAAAAAAAAAAAAGACTAGGAAAGTGGCTCAGTGGTGCCCTTGAGTTCAATCCTGGCACCGTGGTACCCGCGGCCCCCAAGAAAAGAATTGCTTGTGTAAGCCACTAAATTGATTTGTATAGGATTTGAACCGTGGTTACGCAAATGCAGGGGAGATAATGCACATAGGTCTTTGTTTTGGGTTTTTGTTTTCTTTTCTGTTTTGTGTTGGTGCTGGGGGTTAAACTCAGGGGTGCTCAACAGCCCCAGCCCTTTTTCTTCTTTTTTGAGATAATCGTGATAAGTCTGGCACGGAGTTTCTGATCCTCCTCCTCAGCTTCCCCAGTTGCTAGATTATAGATGTGAGCCACTGTGTCCAGCAACGACAATCGTGTTACATCTGATCAATAACAAACATACCAAAAGTTGGCAATGAAATTTTTCTTTTTTCTTAAAAGCCCAATAAAGGACACAAATGCTTAAATGTGGCTTCTTACTAACTAGAGTTGATAGCTTTCCTGAGAGAATAGTTTTAGGGATGGGGGTAGGTGAGGGAGGTTTTGAAAACCCATTCCCAAGAAGAGTCTGAAGAGTCATAGCCACAGGTGCCAGGAGATGCAGGGTGAGCACAAGACAGGAGGGAAAACAAAAACCTGGGTCACATGGGGAGCAGTTTGATCCTGCACTTCCCAGGGATGCGCAAAGCCATTATCTGACCCTGACCTTGGGCAGACTGAGGGGCACCGAGTGAGGCTGTGGTCGTGCTGGCATCCTTAGTTTGGTCTCTGTCTAACCAGGACACCCCTTATTAGGAGTGGCAGCTTGGTAAGTTAATGGTAGGCAACTCCCAGTTTTTCTGCCTAAGCCAAAAGGGCTTTCAGGTTCAGCATGCTGCAGCCAACCCATAGGGCTGCAGAAATGTGATGCCCTTGAGCCTCTGCAGTCACACAGTATATTCGCTACTTTGTACTGTAGCAGTACCCCACGTGCTACCTGGGGATAGCAGTGTGTGGTATGTGGATTTCAGAGATAGAAATGAGACCTGTGTTCCACAAAATTAGTGAAATAAAGATCTCAGGAGTTGGACCTCCTGAAGCTGAAGCCCTTGGCACCTCCCTGAGTGCCTAGTGCCTAGTCTTCAACTGATGTCGAGTGCCTTCTCTGGGGCCGAGGCTGAGGCTGACCGGGGGACACTGGGGTGGCCCCAGTTACTCACTTTCTGTCAGCTGTGCAGCCACTAGGCAAAATCTTCATGGAACTAGATGTGCACAAATCAGTGACTTCAGCTAGTCATCAGGAGAGCCAGTGAGGCCATAAGATGGAGGGAACCTGCAGTCCTTGCCCGTGGAACCGTGCAGGTAAAGGGTGGGCCGTCAGCAGCAGCAGCCCGTGGGGGCACACGGTGCTGGGGCTTCCAGGAGCTGCAGCATGGAGCTCAGGTGCCCTGGTGCCCTTGGTAAGAGCAGGCTGGGGGTCTGCCCCAGTGCCCGGCCTGGAGGCCTCAGCCAGCAGGGTCCATTGCCTTCACATTCAGGTGCCCACTAACAACGCGGGTTCCCAGGTCTGTCCAGACCAGACGCCTGTGAAGAGGAGGCTGGCTCTGCATTTATACCAATTTTTATTCAGAATAAATTTTGTAGATTTCTTTTATAATAGCATTAAAGTCTGGACAATCCAGATTTTACAGTGACTGGAGTAATGAAATAGCTACACATTTGAAAATCAAGGTAACCTTTAATACATATAATTTTTCATACAAACTTTTGACTTTTAAAATAGTGGCTTGCTATTTTACAAAAAAAGTTCAATAAAAATCCTTAATTCAGATGTTATACCATAGTCTAGTGGGAACAGGGAGGAGGGAGCTGTGGAAGAGACCCAGGCCACACTCCACAGCCCTGGCCCCTTACCCTGCCCGCTGCAGTGTACTTTGGGCTTTTAAAAAATTGTCTTAAGTAAAATGCAATTTCTTCTAAAACTGGTTTCAAAAGCCACTTCACGACTGTTCTTTCAACAAAGACTAAAGGCAAGGACCTTGCTGTATCAGAACTTGAGAAGCGGCGAGTCCACATTCTCCTTGTCAGCCTCAGGGCTCAGCTGGACCAGAGGGGAGCCCAGGTCGATCAGCTGGAAGGGCAGAGACAACAAGGTGAGGGGAGCTGCCCTGGGCAGGCCAACAACTCAGCCCCCTGGATCGCCCGGTCCAGGTCCACTTAAAGGAAACCTCGACCATCACATCTAAGCCAACACACAATGACCCCAGGCCCTCACACACTCATGCTCATTCCCAGCTCTGTGCACCAGGAGGGTGTGGAGTTGGGGACATGACCCCTGCCCCCAAAGCCTGGCAGGGGTTCACCACTCAGCGTCAGAGGGTGAACTTCAAGAAGCTCAGGCCAAGCAAGAAGCCTCAGGGCCACCATGCCATGCCCTGGGGCGAGGAACCCAACCAGGCTGAAGCCAGCAGGAATCACCTGCCACTTCTCACCTGTCCCTCGGCCTGCAAAGGTTTTGACACACTGTTTTTTGACACACTGTTTCTGTTCACATCTGGAGTGTTCGTGGTGAGGTCGATCAGGGCTCTGCTTGCAGATCCCAAAGCCACATCTGCTTCAGGAGGGCTGCAGAAGTCGATGAGGGGGAGGTCTGCCGGGGGCCTGCTTCCCACTTGAGGAGTGATGGTGAGCTGACCCAGCCCGATGTCTATGAGAAGAGCCTAGGCAGGACAGACGAAAGGTGGTCCAGCACTGTTCTGCCCTGCTCATGCCCCAAGGGTCCACAGCTGGAGCCAAAGAAAGAGGCTGGGCCTGCCTCAGCAGGGCGCACCAGCCCACCCACATCACACAGAGGACTGCCCTGCTCCCACTTCCCGTCCTTTGGCTCTGATCAGCTCCACGGCCAAACACAGGTGAGAGGTGTTGCTTTTCTCCCCTTTACAGCCCCGAGGTTCTGACCACCCCTCTTGGGCCCACTGGAACCTGAGGCCAGATGGCAAGATGAACTGCAGGACTCTGTCCTTGGGGTGAGAGGCCTCCAGAGTGGCCCTGTGACCCTCCGAGTCAACCACACCTGCATCTGCGTACCTCCCCAGGGCAGGTGTCTTCCCCCGGCTTGGCCTCAACCTGTGCTGCTCCTGTGAAGTCTCCTGAGAAAGGAGACTCATTCTTCTCCGGAGAAAACTGAAGTGCCTGAGGCATAGAGGGTGGAGGAGAGGGGCTGCCACTGGGTGACAGGCCGGCCAGCCTGCCACCAGCCCTGCCGCTGCTCGCTCCCCTCGGCTCAGTCCTGTGGGAGCAGAGGAAAACAGGCTGGATTTCTCTAGAATGCTCACTCACCTGGCTAGATCTGGAGGCAGACTGTTTCTGGAGGAGTGTCCTGTGTTGGGGAGCTGCTGGCCCTGGTGCCAGCTTGTCAGAGAAAGCCACCTACCATGGGGACAGCTGCCCCTTCAGACCCCGTTTCCTGCATAGAAGACTGGGGATTTCCCAGGTTCCTTTCAGCTGGAACATTCTATTTGTTGATTTCACCTGGTGCCTAGTCTGTCCCTTTCAGAAGTGAAGGCTGCATGCAGGGGTTCTGCCCGTCCCCGTGAGGCAGCCAAGGTGACCTCCCTGTTCCTAGACCCAGTCCCTCAGGCTCAGGAGGGCTGCTGCATGCTCCACTGGCACAGACACCCGCTTATACTGCGTTCCCCAGCTGGGTCCCAGCCAGGCACAGGCCTGGCACTGGGCTTCCACCCTGTAACAGGCCCTGCCACTGGACACGTCTCTTTGTGCCTCCACTAGACAGTGGCCCCAGCACCAGGCTGGGTGCACTGGGCCAGCAGCCCCCATACCTGATTCAAACCTGAAGCTGAATGGTCTGGGGGAACTGAGGAATGAGCACACTGTGTCTTCTTTCCTATGCAGAGGCTCAGGACCCTCAGGACAAGTTTCCTATACTCTGCAGTCACCTAAGCACTGGGCCCTCCTCTCTGTGGGGCAGCCCATCATCTTCTTCCAGACTGCTTCCTGAGTGACCACACCCTCCCTGGCATGGGGACAGTCTTGAGGTCTGGGGCACTAGAGACGACCTTGCTTGTCACCTGTCTCACCTCACTGCAGATCTCCTCTGAGGCTCAGAAGAGAGTCTCCGAGCAGGTGCACAGAGCGGGGAAGCCAGAGCTCGGGGCAAGGTTTTGGGAGTCATCAGAGGAAGGCCAGAGGGGCACCAGCCGCCAGGTGTGGGCAGTGCTGACACCCGTCGCGCACTCGTGGGCGTCCCTCTGCTGCTCAACAGGCTTTGTGAAGTTGGCCCTGATGAACGTCTCACAGGAGTGCTGTGAGCAATGGCCCTGGTGAAGACAAAGAAGACCCCTGAGCAGAGACGGCCTCGACAAACTGGAATCCAGTGAGCCAGCGTGCCGACGCAGAGCAAGTCCATGGTTTCAACAGGCGCAAGACCCCAAGCTGCTGCCAGCCCACCACGAGACCTCTGGTGGGTAGAGCTCCCCCCACCCACAGGCAAGGAAGAGAGAATCTCATCAGATGTGGCTGTACTTGCCAGGGGTAGGAAAGCACATGGGAAGTCAAAAGAATCTCAGCGGTCACTTTTTTTTTTTTTAAATATATTTTTTAGTTGTAGATGGACACAATACCTTTGTTTTCTTTATTTATTTATATGTGGTGCTGAGGATCAAACCCAGTGCCTCAGGCATGCTAGGTGAGCGCTGTCCCACTGAGCCACAGCCCCAGTCCCTCAGCAATCACTTTTGACAGCTTGGATCATCTCCACAGGAAGTTCAGACTCACTGGAGCCTGGCCACACAGGTGACCGCACAGGCAGGTCTCACTGCGTGCCACAGTCACAGGGGCACACGGGGAGTAGAATCAGAGAACTGGTGCTTGGTTCTATGCCATCTCATATCCTTGCCAGTCTCTGCAACTCTGATAACCCACTAACTATTGGTTGGTCTCTTGCTGAGTGATTGTTACTGGCTGTGGTCTGAAGGTATGTGCCTACCACAAATTCCTATGTTAAAACCCTAGCTCAAGTGGCAGCACTAGCAGATGAGCCTTGGGGAGTGACGGGCCAGTGGGAGCAGCCCTTGTGAGCTGAATCAATGTTCCCATGAAGGAGGCCACCCTCCCACCAGAAGACCTGGCGGGGGGTGGGGGGTGGGGGTGGGTGGCACAGTCAAGCAAGCTCTCACCAGACCCCACGTCTGCTGGGGCCTTGACTTAGAGTTTCCAGCCTCCAGAACAATGAACAATAACTTCCTATTGTTAAAGTCCCTCAGACTGTGGTATTCTTGTTATAGTAGCCCCAAAAGTGTAAGACATTATTTTAAAACAACGCCAGGACATACTACCAATGTCCCTGGAGTGTGGGCAGACTTCATCTATTAGTTCTATCATCCACTGAAGACAATGTCTACTCTTCAAAGAGTCTAAAGCCAGGCATAGTGGCTCATGCCTGTAATCCCAGTGATTCCAAAGGCTGAGGAAGGAGAAATACAAGTTCAAGGCTAGCCTGGGCAACTTAGCAAGGACTTGTCTCAAAACAAAAATTAAAAAGAGCTGGGGATGGGGCTGGGATTATGGCTCAGCGGTAGAGCGCTCGCCTAGCACGGGCGGGACCTGGGTTCAATCCTCAGTACCACATAAAAATAAAGGCATTGTGTTGTGTCCATCTACACCTAGGAAATAAATATTAAAAAAAAAAAAAAAAGCTGGGGATGTAGGTAGGTGGCTGCCTAGCAGTGCAAGGCCTTGGGCTCCATCCTATAACACACATAGTCTAGAGGCAGACACATTCGGCTGGTCAGGTGGCTCTCAAGCCAAGCTCCTGCCCTCTGCCAGGTTCTGGAGCAGCCCCCCTGCCCTCCGCTGCTGCCATTGCCAGCTCTACCAGGGACTCCTGAGGACAGGAACAAGTGCCAACAGACACATCCTGGAGGCAAGCTCAGGGGGAGGCAGGGCTCTCCTCCCACCCCAGGGTGGCTGCTGGCCTCTGTGCTTGCTCTTGCACTCTGCGGGTGGGAGGGCGCAGCACAGCCTCTGCTACAGGGAAACCATCTGTCAGAGCGCAGATCATCAAGGGATTTGCGGACAGCCAGGCTGGTCCATGGTAGAGCCAGAAGTGCCCTTCTTATGTATCCTAGCCCAGGGCCTACTCTGCCCAGCCCAGTCTTCGAAGTCCAGAGCAGTGTCCCCGCCCTGACCACAGGCAGACGCCAGCATCATGTCCCCAGGGGCACAAACCCAGTGGGCTGCAGCCTTGCGGTGCCCCCACCCACATCCCAGGAAGAGATGGTGAGCTGTAGGCAGGGCTGAGAAGCTTGGGTGTGGGGTCTCCACTCCACCAGAACACTCAGGAGTCGTGCCAGCACCCAACCTCAGCGAGTGACAGCAACAGGAGCAACAGAAGGCAGCTGGGGCGGGGCTATGTTTGCAACTCCTGAGGGCCAGGTGTCCTGCTCTCTGTGTGCCTAGTCTGCAGGACCGCCTGGGTTGGCTGGACCGTCCTCCAGCTAGTGAGAAAGTGTGGTCAGGAACATTCCGTGGCTTGCACCAGGTTCCAAACCCTGAGCCTTGAATAGCTGTACCATGCTGGTGGCCTTTAACTGTGGCACAAAGGAGTCACCTGGGAGCCTTTACAACACCCAGCACCACCAAATCAGAAGGGGATCCTGTTGCTCAGCACAACAACCCCTCCAGCCCAGAGCTGGGAACTGCCACATCACACTGCACAGAAGCAGTCCCATCCAGCGGGAGCTTAGCGGGTCAGCCTGCACTCCACATCTGCTGTGACGCTGACATGGCCATGGGGCAGCCGCACTGTGAGCCCCGGCCACACACATATAAGAAAAAGAAGCAGAGCGAGGCCAGTACCTACCTGCCAGTCGAGATGCATGACTGCAGCCGCTGTGCCTGGGAGGACCTCGGCGTCCTGCTGTCTGTGGAGCCTCCTACGACCAGAGAAGAGTGCACAAGAGTCAGCATGACCAGCTGGGAAGCCACCACACGAGGGTCCTTGCCAACAGGCAGTTCTCCTCCAGCTAGCTCTAATTTCTCAACCTGTAGCACAGATGGCACTAGGATGGTGGACCGAGGGTCAGATGAGTCACACAGGGGAACTGCCAGCAGTGGGGTCACGTGAGGGCACTTTCCTCTACACCAACCTCAGCCAATGCAAGGGCCTTCACCTGCCAACGGTGCAGAGGAGAACCAGCCTCCTCAGGCTTCACCCTCTACCAGATAGGAACAGCCGCCTCTGCCAGGCCACGACTCCCTGCACTGGTAGAAACGTGGTGGAGGCCAGGCAAGCCCAGCAAGGCCCTACATACCTTAATTTTCCTGAGCTGTGGCATCGCTGGGATAATAACATGTCACACCATCTATGTGCTGTGGCACAGTTGCGGGAAAGCGGGTCAGAGGAAAAGGGTTCCTGCCACTGCGGCCTCAGCTCAGGCAGGTGATGGTAGCCTCTGCTATTGCCTGGGCCCCTGCCCTCGCCCAGGGGGGGATCTTCAGGAAGTCAGCTTAATCCCTGCCGAAACCCCTCTGCACTGAGACTGAACCTGGGGTCACAAACCCTGAGTTAGCCTGAGCGACCTCTCTGCTTGGTCTTTCATGTCCCCTATGCACCAGCCTGAGGGAGGCTACTGGCTGCTGTTCAGTCAGCACTCTCCTCCTCACATTCAGAAATTTTAGCTGGGCACACAATGAAAACAGGGACTCTTCACATCCTTTGCAGGAAGTGTGGTCATGTGACTAAGTCCTGATCAATGGGTCATAAATGGAAATGACAGACAACCTGCAGTAAGTACTGTATCCTTGAAAGACAGGGGTATGTTCTTCACCTAGGATATCTTCCCACTAGCAGGTGTGAGGGCTGGAGCTAGTACAGCCATAGTGGACCATGAGGAGGAAAAGCTAATCATGGCAAAACAAGATGGAAGAGGCCTGAGCCCCTCAAGAGAACGGCTCATTCTCATACACAGGCTCAAAATGAGGTGTTCGGGAGTTGAAGGCACCTGTACTGACTAGCAGTGCCAGTAACTTCAAGTAACTGTGAAAGCTGACAGGATCAAAATGGGGTCGCTTGTGCAACCCTAACAGAAAACAATCAAGTCCAGTCCCTGAGGCTGCCAAGGAAGGGCTCTCACATGTACCTGAGAGCACTACTGCAGGACCCTGCAGGCCGCCAGACCAGGGGCCACACAACCAGCTGAAATAGTTATCTGCTCGCAGTCAGAACTTTCAGCTTTTGACTCTGGCGCTGTGGTCTGCCCGGCAGCTTCTCCTCCCTGGCTTCCATGTAACTGGGGCGCTCCGAGGACTCCAGTCAGCCCCGCAAGCTGCCTGCCAATTCTGACCCTGCTCTGTGGCCTGACCCTGCTCTGTGGCCTGACCTGAAATGCTTGTCTAGGCCTACAACAATGGGATTTTCCACTCAAGGCTCTTCTTGATGTATCTGAAGTGCTCCATGAAAACAGAAAATCTCAGGTGCTGCTTCTGTTCCCAGAGGCTGCTGTCCCTGCACACAGCTCCTTCAGCATGAGGCCTGCCTCTGCCCCTGGACGCCTCTGCATGGCTAATCACACTGACTGGGCCCGTCAGCTGGATTCCTCGTGGTGTGATCGGACTCCCATCAGGAGCAACCGCCACACAGGGCTTTTCTTGACCCTTTGGAAGCTGGCCCAGGAAGCAAAGACTTGCTGTGTCCAGGTGATTTCTTATGCCTTAGGTTTTGGTTACTTAGGGAAACAGTCATTAACAGGATAAATTTTTTTGTTTTTCTTTTTAACATCTATTTCCGTTTAAGTTCTTTGATCACTTTGTTTATAATGTGATCACTTTATAACTAGCTAAATCATCCTGGTTAAATGATCTGTAATCTTATTTTGACATTTTTGGCATATTTCCTGGGATCAAAGTCCTAAATTAAATCTTTTTGATTTTGGTTTTCCAGCTGGGCCCCTTGAGATCCTCAACCGTTCTCTCTGATTTTGCAGATGTAATGAACTAGCTGGGGGTTCCTGGTATGTAGGATTGAATAATGGGAAGCACCATCAAATAATCAAGCGATAGATAGTGAGCCTTCTTTACTTGGATTGATAAGGCTGTGTAACTGGTGTGGACGTCCTGATGGTCCTGGTGTGACAGCACCACTGTTCTAGAATGCTGGTACTTCAGTAACTGAATCTCCCCATCGAATGCCAAACTCTCCTCAGAGGTGTGTCTTGTGTCAGCCACAGTTTTGATTCTTCTCTAAAAGCATTTGCCATCACATCCATGGATCAGTGACAAGTTCTCTTGAAAAGAGGTTTTTGGTAACTGTAAGGTCAACAGACTGCACAGAAATTCCCAGAACCCTAAAAAAGGGAGTGATAGTTCATGAAACTGCTCAGGAGGACGAGACAGAATAGGAGCTAACTGCTTGAGTCGGCACGAACTGAGTCTCCGGCTTTACCTGTCGTTTACTTGACATCTTGTTGGATTTTTACCTAAATGTTTTTATTTTCTAGATTTAAAGAAACAACTTCTCAAGCTACCTAGTTTTGATAAAATAGACGTTTGTTAACAAAGTTGGGATGATTATGTACTTTTTTCTCCCTACTCGATTCCTCCCAAATTCAAACACTATTCATATTTTAAGGCAAATGGTTATTTGCACAAGTTCAGGAAGGATTTGCTCCGTCACGGGACACCCTGGGGGATGCTGGCACATGTGAAAATACCCATGGTGTGCCTGGAGTCAGGGTCTGCAACCTTGCATGAGCGAGAGTGAACTGTCACTTCCTGGCAGGCTCTGGAGTCTCAGGACACAAGAGACAGTGTGACACAGGTGAAGATCTAGTGTCTGCCTTGGTTTGCCTTCTAGGCTCAAGAAATCTCTAACTCTGAGATTACTGTATAGTAAATCACTCTTCTGGCCACAGGAAACAGCGGAGCCAGAACTAAACTCCTTTTGCAAAGAAATTGTTTTTTTCTGTTATCTTTAGTTAAAAAAAAAAAAAAGTATTACTCTAGAGAGAAAAATTATGTTTCTAAAGAAAAACTACAGCACGCCTGTTATGGAACAAGCTCTGCTCATTGTCCTCAGGCTTCTGCCTACCTGGAGACCAGACTGGGTCCTGAATTCTTCTAGGTTCCTCTGACCCAGTTTTCTCCTGGAGTCACTAAGAACAGGACTGCACTTTCCCACAGCCCCATGAGCAGAAGCTGGACAACCTGCTGTGAATTCTAAGGACGAGCCCAGGCCTGATGTGCGGGCAGCTCAGAAAGTGCCAAACTGCTGGGGCCACAACCAGAGACATTGAGGCCATACTCTGGGCAAGAAACTGATGTCACAGTTCAACTCATATCAAAATTAGACAAAATAAGATGCTTGCCCTTGTTATTTGTTATTTATGCTCAGCTCTTTCTCACTTGACAGGACAACGATGTAGTTAAAATCTCATGTTCTATAGCCCCTGCTGGCAACTTGACAGGACCTACCCAAGGAGCCCTCTGTCCACCTGGTGACTCTGACAGTATCCCCTGCACGACTTTTTGTTGCACCCGCAGCCCACTTTACAACACTCTCTCAGTTCAGCCCCATCCTAGTTGAATCTCTGTTATTTATGGGCTAAATAAGAAAATGTCTGTTACAGTTAATGCTTTGTGCTGGATCTGGAAACTGAGGCCTGACCACAGACGGCAAGACAGTCAGTTCCCTGATCCAGGAGGACTGACCTGGTCGCCTCTGTTCTGGTTCAAGCCCCTGTGCAGACTGGACTTGCTGTGCTCTTGTTACCATCTTCCTTCTGGACTGTGCCTTTAGCAACTGCTAAAGGCTCAACTCTTGGCAAAACGATGCTGCTAGTGCCTGGAGCCAGCCAGTGCCCCCGGGCAGAACAGAGAGGTCCATTCACCAGCCCTGCTGGAGGCACCTGGTGGGCAGGACCCAGAGGACAGGGTAGCCTTGCTGTTGGAGGAACAGTGACTGGAGCTCTGGGAGGGCTAAGGTGCTGGGATTTGAGGGGCAAAGGGCTGGAGAGGAGGGAGCTACAGAGAACTCTAGAGTCACAGGGCAGGGCAGGCGCCCTACTGGGAGCCGGGGGTGGGGCCAGCAGAGCATGGTACATCAGCAGAGGTCATGGCAAGGCTACTGGACCACTGCAGGCACCAGCGCCTTTCTAGACCCGTCCCAGAAGGGCCTCAAAGGAAGCCTGGGAAGGATCAGGTTAGTCTGCACATTCACTGCTGCCAAGCCGAAGCTCAGCTCCTCAATAACGTACAACTGATAACATGAGCCATGAGCCATGAAAAATGAGACCACCACCTGGAGAAAGGTCTGTGGGACAGAGCCCCAAACGATAGGGAAGATGGAATAAGAAGAAAGATTTCAAAACAACCATTTTAAATACATTCAAGGAGTTAAAGGAAAATGTAAGGGCTGGGGATGTGGCTTAAGCAGTAGCGCGCTCGCCTGGCATGCGTGCGGCCTGGGTTCGATCCTCAGCACCACATACAAACAAATATGTTGTGTCCACCGAAAACTAAAAAATAAAAATATTAAAAAATAATTCTCAAAAAAAAAAAAAAAGAAAGAAAGAAAAAGAAAATGTAAGTATCACAAGAACCGGAGAAACTCTAACGTTGGAAATGAAAACTGACCTGGATGAGCTTAACAGCAGATTAGATCCTGCAGAACACAACAAAAAGAGGAATCCGGGGCTGCACACATAGCTCAGTTGATAGAGTACCTGCCCCGCATGCACAAGGCCCTGGGTTCAATTCCCAGCACCACAAAAAAATAAAACAAAATCAAGACTGAAGCATAGAAAACAAGGTTGGAAAAACCAAGACCCCCAGAGATCTAAGCAACACCATCACACATCACAGAAGGAGCTCAGACATCCACGCAGGCTGCAGAGGATGCCATGAGGAGGAACTGTGGGAGCAGCATGTCCTACACGAGAACCAAGGCTAGAGAACCCCAAGCCAGGTCGCTGAGCCAACGCGAGTGGCAGACGGCGGAGCCCTCCCTGAGGGCTACAGAGCAAGGAAGCAAGAGCGCCACCATCCAGAGTAATGTTTCAAAACTTAGGAGTTCTTCAGTATTTTAAAACACATTAAATTTTATCTATTACTTACCAGTAGAAAACTTAGGCCTTTCAGACTGATTTGAAGGGGTGGGCATGACCTTCGTCTTGGAATTTAAACAAGAAGCTTGCCTTCTTATACTTCCAATTTTATTTGGTTGAGAAGAGGATGACATGGAGTTAGAGTCCAGCCTTGGGCCTCCACTTCTTGGGGTCTGCGGCAGGGCGAGAGGTGCTGTGCTGGGAGCCCGGGGTTGCCCGTCCATGGACTCAGCAGTGTTGGCCCTCCTTGCTGGCCTGCAGGATGCCCCTGTGGGGGCTGTTGGCAAAGATGGGCACGGCATGGCCAGTGCCATTCTGGCTGGCTTGCCAGTGCTTGACAGAGGCCGGGAGCTGCTGCCAGGATCACCTGCAAGTTCACCTGCTTCAGGTGCAAGAGGAGATACAGGAACATCACATTGTTTAATAAGCACAATAAATGTACCCAGAGCCCATTCCTGGAAGGCCAACTGCACTTTTTAAAGTGTAGCCCTCACACCTCTGTATGAGGAACACGTGGGGGAACTGGCTGAAATGTACATTTGGGGGCCGTAACTCACACCCCGAGATGGCTGCTGTTGGTCCAACTTTTGACCTTTCACTATGTCTCAACAGAATAGTGGTGCTGGTGAGGGAATCAGTGGAGCAAGATACAGCTCAAAACACCTTGCATAGTGGCCAAGGGCTTCTGTTTTCAGAAAGTGTACATGTGCCACAGAAGAGCCAGGCACCTAGCAGGGTACTTCCCAGTCACCTTGGTTGTAAAAGTCAGGACGCGTCTCTGCTGACTTTGGACAGTGCTGGGGATTGAATCCAGAACCTCACATAAGTACTCCACACTCAGCTACACCCCCAGCCCTTTTAATTTTTTTGAGACAAGGTCTTGCTAATTTTCTGAGGCTGGCCTCAAATTTTCAATCCTTCTGTCTCAACCTCCTGATTAGCTGGGATTACAGGTGTGCCCATGTGTTTGTCAATTTTCTTGTAATCACCGAATGGCAGGGTCCAGATTCTAAACACGATTGCTCTGACTCAAGAGATCATACTTTTTATGTCTCATGAACAAAACCCTCAGTGGACTCTGGCCAGATTCTACACTGCAAATATAACATGAAAAGGATTTAGTTCTCAAGAGCAGAAAAAGATGCTTTTCCTGCCACCTACAAGTAATTCTGCCCTTTACCACTAGATGGCAGCCTTTGCTCAGCAAGATAAACAGGGAGCCTAAATGTGAACAGTGTGACAGGAGGGATTCAAATACGTGAAGAAATCACAGGGGACACCTGCCCCAAATGACGGGACAGTCGTGTCTTAACATGGGTGTCTGACTACTTGAACACGAGGCTGGAACAAGCACCCTTCTCCTTACTAGAGGGAAGCACCCCAGGGCAGGGATGGAGTTATCTTCCCCGCCAGCCTAGCCACAGCCCAGAGCAAGCCCTCCACAGCCTCCTGTTGAGCCAGGACACAAAAACAGTCTCAGCCTAATGGACAGGGGGTGGCTGGCTGTCCACGCCTCATCTGGCTAGTAGGTCTGAGCATGGGCCGCCGGCTGCTCACCTTTACCTGCTGCTGGAGATGCACACACACTGGATGTCCTGCTGGAAACAGACCCTGAAGAAGAGGACTTCCTTGTAAGACTGCCAGTATAGCCAGGTGGCTTTAATAGTGTCTTCTTTAGCCCCCACAGAGACAAAATGTTAAAGAACAGAATCAGCAAAGATTTCATTATCCATCCATACTTACTTACTTCTGCCAAAGTAGGCTTTTAAAATAATTTGTAATACTTTAATGATTATCATCTTTAATTTGGTAATGGTATCCATGGAGGATTATCCCCAGGACCCTGCAAATACCAAAACCCACAGATGTTCAAGTTCCTTATATAAAGTAGCATAGTATTTGCACATAACCCACACATGTCCCCTTACCTTTAAGCCACCTCCAGATGACTTACAGTGCCTAATGTGAAGTAAACAATGGTGACACTGCATTGTTTAGGGGATCATGACAAGAGGAAACGCCAGTACGTGTCCAGCACAGATGCAGCTTTTGTCCTGAGTGTGCTCACTATGCAGCTAGTGCACGCACACGAGTGGGGACCAAGGACATGGAGGCCGCTGTGCTTCTCCAACTGCAGTCTTCAAACCTTCGCTTGAGGAACATGTGAGGAAACTAACTGAAATGTAGATTTGTGGGCTCCAACTCATACCCCAAATTGGCTGTTATTGGCCCAATTTGTGGCACTTTAAGAGGGAACACCAGTGATCTTGACACATGGATGGCCGTCTGATCAATACCAGAAAATAAATGGCAAAAGGTGGGAGTCTCCATGCCTTTGGAGAGCTGCAGCTCAAAACATCTCACCACGTTTTCTGCAGGGGCCTCGCAAGGGAGACAGGGGGCATCCCACCATTACTGAGATGGACTTTCCCCAGCACACAAGACTTTTTCACCAAGCTGCCTCTAGTGGACAATGTTTTCAACTTTCCTAATTTGACTTTAATAAAAAATCACACCCCTAATAAACAAGTTGCCACCCTGTTCCCATGTATGGCACGTTACAGCCCCTGTGGCCCTGGCTGACTCACCTTACTAGGAATGGGGAGTGATCGCTTGCCTTGGCCCAGGTGGCTTCCGTGAGCTGGAAGGCTGACGGCATCCAGAGCCAAGCTGGGCTTGTCCAGGAGCACATCCCGGTGAGGCTGCTTTTCATTTAGGAGTTTCACCCTGGAAGGACTAGCTGGTCTCTCTGTCTTGGGCTGAAATTTTTAATTTGAAATAGGAGAACTAGGTATCCTTAACAAGATCCAGAGATGCTGAGGCTTCTCAAGTGACCCCAGACCCTGCCTCTCCTCCCCAGATCTATCATGCTCCTCAATTCATCAGCTGGCGCAAAGGAGTGAGGTTCACGTCCTCCACCAAATGACTCTGCACACACTGACATGGCCTTCTTGTCAAAAACAGCATGAAATAACCCCAGAGAGAGGAGACCTGCCAGAGCCATTCCTCAGTTGGGTCCTCACTTAAGGACAAGAAACTGGCTCCAGCTATGCAGATTCTAAAATGCTGCACATCAAAGCTTATGATGAAGTTCACCTCTACCAGAAAAGCCACCCACTGCAATAAATCTCATTCTAGTGCAGGAAGCCACTTCCTCGGACCAGATATCAAACAAAAAATAAATTCCCAACATACTTAGGGACAAGGGCATTCGACTGCTCCAAGCTCACATAAACAGCAAGGCGATTAATAAGCCAGGAGCGGCAGATGCTCAGTCACAAGGGTGCAGCATCTAAACACCCAAGTTACACTTCACATAACAAAACCACCATTATAAAGTCTACACTCGGTGGATTTTCATGTTTGAAATTCTCTACAACCATCAACGTAAGCTTGTTTTAGAACATATTCCCCTAAAAGAAACCCATATGTATTAGCAGCCACTATCCAGTCTCTCAGCCTCGCCAGTCTGGGGCAACCACCACCCACTAGCTTCTGCTATAATGTGCTCCTGATGGTCATTTCATCAAATGGTCAAACAGTATATGACCTTCTGCACCTGGCTTCTTTCATTAAACACGTATTCAAAAGTCATCTATATAAAGGCATGTATAGTACTACAACTTTTTTTTTGTTGTTGTTTACTGAGGATTAAACCCAGCATGCTTAACCACTGAGCCATATCCCCAGCCCCTTTTATTTATTTATTTATTTATTTTTATTTTCAGACAGTTCTCACTAAATTGCATGGGGCCTGGCTAAATTGCTGAGCCTGGCTTTGAATTTGCAATCCTCCTGCCTCAGCCTCCCAGGCTGCTAGGATTACAGCCACCGTGCCCAGCAGTACACCTTTTTATTGCCAAAAGAATTCCACTGTCTGAATATACATCATTTATCCACTGTCAGTTGATGGACTTGGGGTTGGCTCAGTTTTTTGGCCATTATAATAATGCTGCTGTGAATCTCTGCTCTGAATACACATGTCTAGACCCGCAAATCCTGCCCTATGTCCATCTGTGCTATACTCACAAACCCCCAAGGTCAGGTCTCTGATCACGGTCAGGAAGTCAGAGGATGGGTTTAAGAACAGAAAGGGCATTTCTAGGCAGGTCCTCACAGTGGGTTCTGCACTCACCTAACCCTAAAGCAGCCCACAGTGTCATTCCCTATCACTGCTGCCCACGGCAGGGCAGCGCTGGGAAGGGCAGCAGGCCCTCAATAACCTGCCCTGCCAAGTCTCTCTGACCTCTCCTCCACAGGAGGAGCAAGAGGTGGATCAGACAGGCCAGAAAGCAGGCTGTGGTCTCCATCTGGCATACCCTTCTCCTGGCCATCCCTCTGCAAGCCTCCCAGACCCTCAGTTCCCCAGAGTTAGCTGAACGTACCCCAGTGGCATACCCGTCAACTGCCATTTCCCACGACAGCTCTTCCCCACTCAGTGCCCAAGTGGAAAACAGCGTAAAGCTAAGTCACAGCCAAGGAGCATGTGGCTACTAAGTCACAGCCAAGCAGCATACCCAGTGGCCACCAAGTCACAGCCAAGGAGCATGCCCATGGCCACCCGAGGAGGAACTTCTGGAAGAGGGTACCTGTTAAGACACATGCATCCTGGGGGGGGACACCCAGTGCTGGGACAGAAGCCAGTGTGAAAGGCGCTCTGAGGGCGCGTTCCCAAGCTGTCACTTCCGTGCCTCACTACTACTGTCTTCCCTCCCCACACTCTGGACCTCAGGTCTCCATGCAGGGTGGGGTGGGAGGCTGAGAAACAAGGAGTGCCGTGCGGTTTTGTCTACCTTCTCTAATGCAGAGGGAAGGGGCCGTCCTCTCACAGATGAAGCCCGAGGCAGCTGCAGCTTGCTGGCAACCCTCTTTGGAGGCACTCCCTGATCCGGGGGGCGGACAGCACCTGGCTCCCCTGGCAGAGGACAAGAGGAGGAGGGCAGTCCCTGTGTCAGGACAGGGCCCACACGGGCAGGGGTGCTGGGCAGGGCCAGAGAGGAGGCTGGGAGCAGGGGCTCCCCCGAGAGTGGCAGCCCCTGAAAAGGGCTGTCGGACAGGTAGTATGTCTCTCTTTTAAGTGACTTGGGGCTCTTCTCCATTTCCTCTTCCTTCTCAAAGAGTTTCATTTTTAGTTTTGATTCCTGGATGAACTTCTCCACACCCTGGCTCCAGGAGCTCCCGGCCCCTGCAGCTGGGACCCCCTCTTCTCGGCTGTGGCTCTCCAGCTGCAGAGCCAGCAGGCGAGCCTCTCTGTACACTTCCACGAACTTCTCGGCCGGGAGGGGGCTCAAGGTGCAGGGACCATCAGATGCTGGCAAGGGAGGCTGTTGGGAAATCTGATGATTTAATTCCAAGCTGGCAGCGATACATCTTTCTCTATGCCCAACAGGCCCAAAAAAGACTTCATCATCTTCATTTGCACTATTTTTAAAGAAAAGGACCATTAATCATTCATAACACTGGACTCAAATCAAAGACTTTACTCAGTGTGGTTGGGTCCCCATCAAGGGAAGAAAACTCATTTGTTTACCTTGAAGAAGACAATGAGAGGTCAAAGTCGAATTTTTCATCGGCCAAAAGAATACCTGGGGGAACAATGTTGAATTATTTTAGGATTGAGGTGAAACAGGAAAATATTACCAATCTCTATAGCTATGAGGGCCATGAGGAAATTTCACCCCCCAAGTATAACCTATTGCTATTTTAATTTAGTGGTATTTTCATAGGGAGCTTATTTTTTCCATTTTCTTTTTTAAACTGCACCAGCAATTCTGGGTTTGCTAAACCACCCCAAAAGCAAAAAGCCTTGTTTTTGTGACATAATCTAAAAATGCATTTGCCAAATCATTCAGCTGGCTTTTCAAGACGAGCTAAGTCATTTTCAGGTATAGAACCACCAGTCTCAGCTCCCTTAGAATTAAATTCCCCCCTCCCTTTTTTTTTTTTTTTTTTTAGTACCAGGGATTCAACCCAGGGGCGCTTAACCACTGAGCTACATTCCCAGTCCTTTTTATTATTATTACTTGTTATTTGTTTTGAGACAGTGTCTCGCTAAGTTGCTTAGGGCTTCACTAAGTTGCTGAGACTGGTTTTGAACTTGCAATCCTGCCTCAGTCTCCTGAGTCGCTGGATTACAGATGGCTAAATTCACCTCTTATAAACCACAAAATACCCATTCACCTTTCAACAATGAATTCAAATACAATTGAAATGCAGAGTAGAGACTCAAAAAGTACTTGCTGACACCATCACTCCGCGGAGTCCTTCCAGAACCCCTCGCCCATACTGCCATCACAGCCTCCGCTGGCCCTGTCCTTCACCCAGCTCCCTCTAACAGACCCCAGGCCCTGGTCAGTGGGTCCCTCAGCTGGGGCACTGCTCCCCACCTCCAGCCCCAGTGCCACAGCTCCCATAGCCCTTGCACCTGACCCCCACCTCTGGCTGCACTAGCTGGGCATTTGGGCTCTCTCTGGCCCCAGCAGGGCTCAAAGCTCCTCCAAGACAACAAATATCTTATGTGCCCAAATTCCCCAATGTCCAGCTAGGGGCCTGGATGTTTAGCAAACAGTTACTGAAATGCACTGAACTGCTACTTCAGTAATTAAATATGCAGCATTTTCACAGACGTCTTATTTAATCTTAATAAACAATGAAGCATATTTAATAAAAACCCCGAGAATCTGAAAATACACTGGCATCCTACTTAAATCTTAGTTAAACAGTCCTACTTATCTAATCAAGGAAAAATATAGACAGGCTGGGGGTGTAGGCCAGTGGTAGAGCAAAATCTTAGCTCCTATGAGGCCCGGGGTTCAATCTCCAGCACCAAAGCATAAAGGAACTTAAAGAGCAGTGGCCACCAGAGAGAAGTGAAAAGGTTCATAGGCTGGTTTGCTCAGCTTCTGGCACTATGCCTACGAACATGGCTGAAGCGGGTCATTTTCCAGGAAAATATCTGGTTTTCTATTATACTTATCCAACATGATTTATAAACTGAGTCCAGAAGAAAGAACGTAAATCCTAGTAGTTCAATTATCACAAACTAACTGGAGAAACATATTACAGGACTATCCCAAGGAAAAAAGAGAAAAAAAAGAAAAAAAACAACCCCAGCTGGTTTCACAGGATAATTCTATCAAAGCTCTGTAAGAGCATCTAATTCCAATACTATTTACATTGCTCCAGAAGACAATGAAATAAATCTGGTAACCTGCTTCTGTAAAGCAAGCACAGTGATACCAAAAAACCTGTGAAGGGGGCTGGGGTGTGACTCAGGGGCAGAGCACTTGCCTAGCACATGAGGCACTGGGCTCGATCCTCAGCACCACATAAAATAAATAAATAAATAAATAAGTGTGTTGTGTCCATCCATAATTAAAAATACTAAAACAAAAACAACAACTGTGAAGTTTGCTCAATAAAGGTAGCTGGAGACCAGTCTTACTGTGTCAACAAAAATGGTCCTCAACAGGAACAATAGCAGGAGAATCCAGCAGCACATTAAAGACTAATAATGCTTTACTTGACCAAACTCATTTCATTTCAGGAGTGTAACATGATTTAATTCAACACAATGTTGCAATATAACCATTAAATTACTAGAACTACAGAGTAAGCATATACTTTGAAGAGGCATATGCTAAAATGCAACATATAGTCTTAAAGGGTCTTAATAAAAAGTAATAGATGTATTTAATCATACAAGGAAATTGTCATCTCAACCCAAAAGGTAAAATTAGGTTCAATGGGATAAAATCAAAAGTATTCCTCCTGGACTGGGGTTGTGGCTCAGTGGTAGAGCGCTTGCCTAGCAAATGTAAGGTACTGGGTTCGATTCTCAGCACCACATATAAATAAACAAAGGTCCATCATCAATGAAAAAAAATATTAAAAAAAAAAGTATTCCTTCTAAGGCAATAGCAAATGTACCTTATCAGCTGGAATAGGTTAACTGCTGATATAACAAAGAATCCCCAAAGAATCCCCAAGCTCAACTGGCTGAACAATAAAGACATATTTCTCACTCAGACTATGTCTGCTAAGGGTAGGATGGACTCTGCTCCATGGACTCCCCACTTCAGACCCTGGGCTGACTGAGCCTCCAACATCAGGACCACAGTTGGTTTCCATGACAGGGAGAAGAGGAAAGAACAAATTCCAAGCTGGTTCTTAAGGACATTTACCCAGAAGGGACACACAATACCACGTTCCCATTTCACTGGCCAAGCAAGTCACCTAAGCCAAATCTAAACTTCAAGTGGGTAAGGGGTATTATTTCATCATACCCCCCCCCAAAAAAAAATCCACAGAAATATTAACGAACGGTACCAGTGGCTACCATCTACATGTAAATCAGCACACAGGCCAGCATTAGGCTTAACAGAAAGCCACAGAAACAAGCCCCTTAAAGCCAGGCACGAGGCAGTGTTGCCAGACTCCACAATTCTTAATGTTCTGGACACACTGACCAATATAAACAGATAAAGGAAAGAACATGGAGACAAAGTTTGAGGGTGCACCAATGCTACAGTTATAGACTCAGAAAATCAACTGAAAGCTATTATAAATAGTAAAAAGATAAAAGAACACTCCTAAGGACAAAATTCTTACATGGCAATCAACATCATTCACATACACAATGAACAGTTAGGAGACATAATGGGCAGAAAGTTTGATCCATATATCATAACATATCAGGACAAATTCCAAATAAATCAAAAACCAATTGAAAATAAAAAAAAAGAAGCCTTAAAGGAGCAAGAGGAAATTGCTTTTTAATCTTGGAGTACTAAGGCCTAACTATAACACCAAACCATAAGCCTTAACATAAAAAAATTGATTTTTAAATATATAAAAATTTGTAAAAACCTCAAAATGGCAAAAATCACCATGAGCAAAGTTAAAAGGAACAAGAAGCAGAAACAAAGCTACTTGCAACTTATCTCACAAAGGGCTAATTTATAAGAATACCTACAAATTGCTAAGAATACAACTAACAACCTAATGGAAAAATGGAAACAAATTTCACAGAAAATGAATAAAAAATGTTCTTAAATACAACAAAAAGTTCAGTCTCACTCAAAAGAAAACTGGAAAAGAAACCTTCCCTAAGGCTTGACTTTTCACATGTTAGACTGGCAAAAAGCAAAAAATTTGATGGACTGTAGGCAAAACTGCACGGAAAGAGACAAGTCCTAGACGCTTTGTGCAAGGCAAAGTTCGATGCAGCTTTGTGGAGGGCCACCTGACAGAAGTGTCACAGTAAAACTGCAATGCCCTTGGACCCAGCAAGCCCACTTCTGTGAATGTACTCATTTGTAACAGCAAGACAATAAGCATAGACTCAGTGTTCACCTAGCAGATGAATCAAATTGCAATTCATTCCTGCGATGGAACACTGCATAGGTACAAAAAAATAACAACATGCCTTTTACACTGACACAACAATCATCAAGATAAATTAAGTGTGAAAAACAAGACGCAGGACAGGGTTCTATGTGCTCCACGAGAATATACTGGCACTGTCTACATATAGGCTGGCATTTGCACAAAGTGTCTCTAGCAGGGGATACAAGACATTGATGACATCAATGACTTTTGGAAGAGGCAAGGAGGTGAACAAGGGACAAAGATGAAAGGGCTCTATTTCACTTTTTACAATCTCAACTTAGGAAATCGATTTTATAGGTCACTTCCAGAAACTCTCTACTGTCTACTGTGGAAAAAAGTATGGTGGGCTAGAAGCCAGCCTCTTCTGGCCTGGGCTGCCTGACTCAAAAACTCTGCAGACTCAGGAGCTCCGACAAGCCACGTCATCCACCAGGTGCCAGGCAGATTGAGGACACACGGTATCAGCCCTCCAGCATGCACCAGGCAGCACAGTGAGAGGATAACACACAGAGGGGAAACTCTAAGGAAATTAAATAAAGTGTTTGAGGAACTGGTCAGAGGTCAGTGGCTGCAGCAATGCTGAAGAGGTAGAAGGTAAGCAAGTCAGATCCCGGGGGCCTGCAGCCAGACACAGGGCCTTCGTTTCATTCAAGTGCAACATAAGGCTATGAAGGGCTTTCAGAGAGTGTTATAATCTAACTTGTGTTTTAAAGCATAAGGTTCCCTGGCTGCATGTACAGTGTGTCAGAAACAAAGCCGCAATTACAAATGCACAAACTAACTAGCTGTTATGGTTTTGACGAGCTCTCCCCCAAAAGTTCATGTGAGACAACGCAAGAATTCTCAGAAGTGAAATGATTGGGTCCTGAGAGCTGTAACCTAGTCCACAGATTAAGCCCCAGTTAAGGATTAGCTGGGTGTTAGCTGTAGGTAGGCAGGGTGCAGCTGGAGAGGTGGGTCACTGGGGGCGTGACGGCGGAGGGCTGTATTTCCACCCTGGTCAGTGGAGCCCTCTACTTCCTTGTTGTCCTCTGCTCCTTTTTTCAGCCTCACCTCAGGACCAGAGCTGGAGTCACCTGACTGTGGGCTGAACCTCTGAAACTGTGAGCCAAAACAAACTTTTCCTCCTCTAAGGGGTTCTTGTCTGGTGTTTTGGTCACAGCAGAGAAAAAGCTGACTAAAACACTGGACAAACAGGCGCAGACGAGATGAGG